GGGGTGGCTGGGGTCCGGGGTCCCTCGAGAGGAACTGGCCGGTGCGCGCGGTTGTCATGGTACCTGTTGCCTGAATGCAGGGCCAAACCCGTTGCGTGCGGGTTCGGAGCTGATGGAAGAAAACCGTGAGCTGGGACTGAGATCCGCGGGCTGCCACGCTAGGAGAGGTTGCTGATGAAGCCCACTGCCTTATTAATGTCTTCCTGCAAGTTAATAACGCTTGTTTCTCCCCGAAGTTGATAAAAAAAACATCCTTTCAGGAAACAGTCTCACCTTGAAGGCTTCAAACAATACTAGCTCCAGGCTTGCCTTGGTAAGTCAGTCCAGTGTTAATTTCCTAACAGCTAAGATGCTTTATGTTCTACTTCAAAGCTGAATTGTCAAACTAAAGCCTACAGCCAGCTGTCCTCATCAGTGCTTTCACTGGCAAGTCTTATCCTGTTTCAAAAACTTGTATTTTTTGATTTTGGATATGTTAAGTTGCATATGTTTTTGTTATGTCATAGTCTTCTGGAACATGACCACTTACACACAAGATTGAGTTCACTCTCTGGCAAGGAGGATAATTTTTACAGGTTGTTTTATTTATCTTGATATCAGCATCTTCCAGGAGTATTCCATATAGTTGTCTTTAAGACGTTTTGGCCACTTTTTCCTTTTGACTGTGGAAATTAGTGTGGAGAAGCCTTTGGGGGGAGGACTCATGGAGGAGTAGACTGGTAGGTGTTTTGAAACAAGAATTTCTCATAAAGAAACATCCTCATTGTTTTGCTTAGTTTTATTTGGGCAGTCTTCATGAGGAACTTTGCGGGTGTGAATGTTCTTATGATGACGTGGTTCTTTGTTGCCTTTGAGCAGAGGATGATAACAGACAACAGCCACCTGCCAGACAGTATCCAAGAACAAGACCCTGTAACTACTTCAAGCAATAATTGCCTGCATAATGCTGATGAATTGAGCACTGAACAAGAAAATGGCATTTGTAACAGTGAGCCGGGTAATGGTATTAGAGTTCCCAACTCTGCCAGCCAGTCATCCACTTCCATGGCTGTTCCTTTGGAGGTGCCCAGAAGAGGACAACCCCTTTTACAGATCAACAGGCAACAGATTCAGTCCATCTCATATAGTGCACAGGCTGCTGAGCTCAAAGGTTTAGGAATTGATGTCTATGACCAGGATGTATTGGAGCAAGGAGTTCTTCAGCAAGTAGATAATGCAATTAATGAAGCTAATAAAGCAACAAAAATAGCTGATGCGGAGAAAGAATATCAGTCAGTGCTGGATGACTTAAGGTAAATTGTGTCCTTTCTTACTGTTCCTTTCTGTTACTGACTATCTAATGAGGCTCGGTATCTCATGTTTTTAAAAGCTGGAAGATGAAAAGATGTTTTGAAAGCGTTAGATCACATGTACTCTTCTGAGTCACCCACCTTTTAAAAAAGGAGAAAATATTTTTGACATCAGAGCAGTGCTTCATTGCTCTTATTTGACTAATTCAGTCATGCATCAAGTCAGTAGAGGACAGCGCATCTCCTTTTTCTGCTTTGTCTCCTACCTTGCCAAGATGCATGTCTGTTTTCTGGGCAGTGGAGAACTGCGTTGTACTCTATTATTCAAAGTTATAGTCAGAAAAAGTGCCACTTCTTCAATTCTGTATGCTTCATGGGGTTATCTGCTTCTGGTTATGTGCTTTCTGTAACTTGGATGACTCCATGTCATGAGTGTACTACAACCGAAACATCCTTATCACAAGTGTTTGTATGAAGTACTTAGTGACACTTAAAATAATCAAATGCTTAATTAACATGGTATATTGACAGTAGAAGACTTTGAGGGATAGGAGCCACTAATCTTTTGAGTTTCGATCTCAGATCTCCCTTTCTGTTTCTAGTCTCGTTGTAGAGTTACTGTGTGAACTACTGCAGGTAAGTAATTCTACCTGTGCACCTTTCACTGTATTGCATTAATGTTGGGTTTTAGTGCTCAAGGGTGCTGTAGGCCTCCATTACCTATGTGAACATTCGCATAGCTCTCTTGTTATGCATATGCTTAATTTTATGCACTTCATTAATTTTCTAGTTTGGGTGTGGAGATGTGAAATTAAGTAAATTTGCAAAACTGGAACTAATTTCAGATGTTATGTAGCAGAAGGACGTAATGAGTAAGATGGTCGTTGAGAGGAAGAATGGAGCAGTGTAACCATTGCGATTAGGTTATGGAGTTATTGAAAGAGTGCACGGCACTGTCAATTACTTGATAGTTTTCCTTTGAGAAACATCCTGTGATTTTTCTTACCCCTCTATTTTCATCTGCCACTTAAAGTCATAAAATGAGATTTGCATGAGGGGATGCAAATGCTTTATGCAGACCTGTAGAACCTTGTTTGTATAAGATGTAATGTGTAAGTCTGCAAGTTGATTTTGGAGAAAATTAGAAGAGATATAGCTGGCTTGTTGAGCAGAGGGACTAACAAAAGTAAAGATGTATGAGTAGAGCGTGATAGAGTTGGTTCAAGTCCGGTAACATGGTGGATGCATGCCTAGAGGTAAAATCAGGCAAGAAGTGGTTTTTGAGTAGTTGGCACAGAGTTCATGGTAGAAACTGCGTGATTCTATAATAAACACACAAATTCAAGCAGAAGAAGAAGAATAAAAAATGGTTAAAGTTAAATCCTGTTTAAATCCTGCAGTCCTGTTAAATAAAGGTTTGTGGAAGAGGACAGTAGCGGTATGTGTCAAGAGACCCTAGGGCCAAGGAAGCAAGAGCCAAAAGGTAGGAGACATGCAACAGGATGGTATACTTCAAAGCAACGAAACAGAAGACTGAGAAAGGGGATAGGATGGTTCAAAAGTGTGGAAAGAGAATGGAGAAGTGAAGATGGCAGTGATAGCTGGGGAGCTGGTAGACTACCATCTCCTAGGGATAGCTAGGGGAACAGTAGTAGAATCCAGATTAGAGCTGGAGAGAAATATGGCCCAGTCAGTTTCCTCCCTGACTATTGAGGAGACTTATGTAGTGCTTTTCTTTGCATATAAGGGGAATAATGGCCGCTTTGCAGGTGTTGTAAAAAGTTTTCTTTGACATTTTACATAATGCTTTGAGATGTTAATTTGCGTATCCTTATGAAATACTGTCCTATTTGAATCAACAAACCTAGATTTGTTGCTTCTGACGGTGGGGCAGTGCCTCCTTCCTTGCAAGTGAATTCAACAGCAGAAACAGATGATATTAGGTTATAGTATGTGGTTCAGCCTGAATTTCATATTGTATATGGAAACATGAAAAACTGTAGTGCATAGGTAAGGAAAGTTTAATGTTGATGTGCTGTTAATTCTTTGAGTTAGTTTGTCTTCCTGAAACTGTATTTGTATCTTGTAGTCTATTCTTTGTGTAAAAGAGACATTGTGAAGGTAAAAAGAAATAGGCTTCTTTATATTATGGCATCAAACTATTAAGACATTTTTAGAAAATGAAAACATGGGATTTCCCATTTAATTTTTGTTTTGCATTTTGTTTACCTTGAATAATAAAAGCAATCACTATCACTTCCTTGTTATCATTATCAGACTTGTAAATTTTGAGTACTAAATATTGCAGTGGTTTGTTCAGTTTCCTTGCCTTTGGAATTTTAGTATTAGCAAAATTTTGTTTAAAAATATTTTATGATGTACAACTTCTTAAAGCGTTTAGTATTTCCAGTGTTGTTTAAATATAAGATGCTTATTTAGAAACTTAACCTTTAGACTTTTTAAAATCTTACCTTAAATTTCTAAATTGTCTGAATTGAGACTGTGCTATTTTTCTTTCTAGAGTTGACTAGTACATTGCAATCTTCCTGTTTTTTTCAGATCATGTGCAACATCTCTGAAACAAATAAATAAAATTATTGAACAACTTTCACCTCAGGCTGCCGACAACAAAGATATAAACAGAAAACTAGATTCCGTAAAACGGCAGAAATATAACAAGGTGATTGGATTACATTAATTTCCTGTTGACAATACTTAGCTTGTACTTTGGCTTAAGGTTTGGATTATGTGATATAATTCTTGCTTAATTATGTAGTTCAGAGTCAGTCTACAATTGCTGTTCCTTCCCTTTTAAATGGTTTAATTTTCTACCAAGAAAATGTAAATAATTATTTTAAAGATGTGAAAGTGAGAGCTGAATTTTTTTTTTTTTTTTTTTCCCCCCTAAGTTTCAGAACAAGCTGTAAAACTGAAGTTCCAGGACCTGCTCGGAAGACTGATTTGCATTAATTTAATTAAATCCCTTCCAGTAGCATTTGGAGAATTAGCAAAGCATTTTTAGGGCATGATTGAATAGTTGACCTAGATCTCAGCGGTCTTCATTCCCTACCTTCCTTTCCTTAATCCTCTTTCATTGTCTGTATCTTTCTTGTACCAGTACACATCATTCCTTTCTGGGAGCCATTTTAAGTCATTGGTTTGGCAGAAACTGCTCCAGCTTTTTTTCTGCCAGAGTGTTAAGTTAAAGGAGCTTGTAGAGCAATCTAGCGGGCATCAGGGTAATGTAAACAATAGACCTATACAGCTGTGAATAGGAAGAAGGAGAGTTGAGAAAAGGGAGACTTTGATCAGCAAACCGTCTGATGGAAATTCACCCTAATATTTTCTCTAATGATAAACCTGACTGAAAAACTTACTGTCCTTTGCCCGCAGACACATCTTCCCAGTCTCAGGCCATTTGCCACTGACTCATTCAGTTGTTTGTTTTTTAACCTTGATCATTTCAGAACTTGGATAACACTGTGCTCACAATTTGGCCAATTAAGAGAGTGAGGGGGACAGTACTGAACAACTAAAGAGTGATCATGTAATTGGACACTCTATTTTGTTTGTTTTCCTAGTACTTGAAGTAATTTCCGCAAGTGTTAGTTGCACGGGAAGTTCAGACCTTTTTGCAAGTTCATTGTTAGCCATCTCTAACAGTCCTTGAAGTGTAAGAATAAATCCCTGTATAAAAACTGTAATCTGTAGAAGTGGTCCTAATAACATCAAGAGTGTTTTGGAGGCTCTTTGGAGGCAGGCAGTGTATTCAGAGCTGGTGTTGAGCTGCTTTTTGCATGGAGAAGTACCTTTAGGTACTCTTCCTTTTGTAGTATTTAAAAAAAGAAATGGTTAAAGAAGACTGAATTCTTCGTTATTGAGACAAATGGGAAATTAATGACTGGTACAAGACAGCTATTTCCTTAGAGCTGTCATACAGGGGGTGTTTTATGATATAAAGTACTCTGGTAGCAAGGATAATAGTGCATACACACGAGATGATATATTGTACCATACATCAATATACTCTACCCTTTATGGTTTGAAAAGACATGGGCTGATTTTGCCATGAACTTGGTTTTTACTGAAGTATGTGCCTGTCTAAGTAAGAAAATATTTCCAAAGAATGGAGTTATAAATGTGGAAAGCTACATTGCCTATGTCTTTGTTTTACTGGTTGGAATTTCTTGTTTCATAAATGAAAGTTAGCAACACCAAGGAATCACAACGTCACCAGCAAATATACAGTTGAGGATATTACAATCAGATAAAAGGTGTAACAGAAGAGCTAGTTATGAATTATTTTCATAGCAGTAGTGAACTATACTTGTTATAGCACGTGTAATGTTGATTTTTTTCACTTACGTTTTTTAAAGTCATTTCACTTTGTAGTTTTTGCTGTTAAATTAGCTGTGACCGCTCCTGAATTAACTGTATACAAACATATATGATGGACTGATTTACAATTTCAGTTTCTTTCTTACAAAACATTCCAAAACTTCTGGGATGATAAATAAATCTTACTAAATCTCATAGCTGTTTTTAGTGGCTTATTAACCATTAACCCAGTCTTGCAAATCATGAACAAATCTTCTGGTGTTCTCTGTGCATCTCACTAGTCGTCTTGGTAGGCTTCCTTCACTAGAATCAACACATTCATAAGATGACCCCAAAAGATGTACATAAAAATGTGTAATGTGCACGAGATCTGTGTGTATAAACAATCTGATCTTACTGTACGCATATCATAAGATGATTGTACACACAAAATTGTGTGTGTTCTGTGGGTTGGAGCCCTACGGATATTGTGGTGACACTTTTTTGCACTTTTTTTGTTTCAAATGCAATACTGTGACCATTTGAATATGAGATTCTGGTGGAAAACACTGCAAATGTAGTAATTTACATCTTGTTTAAAAGGATAGCAAGTTTATGAATGAGATTAAAAATTAAATTATGTATCTACTTGTCATTCAAGGAGCAACAGCTAAAGAAGATCAAAGCAAAACAAAAGCGTCTCCAAGCAATTCTTGGTGGAACAGAAATTCTTGATAAAGTAAATGAGATTGAATTCGAGGAAGATGAAGGTATGGGAGAAGGCTGAAAGTTCTGTTCTACTTTGATGTAATACCTTTTTTTGTTTGAAGCTAGTTTGCAAGATCTTTGCCAATAAGGAAATGAATTTCAGTAGTTTGCTTTCAAAGAGAGAGTTAAGAACACTTATGCTCTGCACCTGCAGAATTGCAGATCTTGACATATTCATGTGGGGAGTTTTAAAAAATGGATGTTAATCCGTGTTCAGCTCAGTAGGGATGGCTGAGGCACATTAGAGTATTGGGCTTAATAAATTGGAAATCCTAATGTTTTTTCACGGCTAATTTGATAAAGATGACTAACATCATGATTGAATTACATTTTATATGCTGAATGCTATCAATCAGCGTTAACAAAATTGTTTTTTCTTACTGTTGGGAAGTATCAGTAGAAATGGAAGGGGGAAGTGGTTCTTTTTTTCAGGCTGCACTGTGATTTAAAAAAAATAAAAATAAGGCTTCTTCCAAAGCAGGGTATTTGTTCTCTCAGTGTTTCACTAGGTGTTCTTTCTCACTGCTGTCTGCAAACTGAGCTTGGGTTTTGTAACTCCAGCTTCGCTGCGTCTTGGCCACAATCACTAATCTGCAGTATTCTGCAGTGCAAGTCTGGACCCCGTTGACATCTGCACATCACCTTTGGGTTCTATTGTTGTTTGCAGGGGTGTAAACTCTTTGTGCTATTTGTCCATTGCAGATGTGGCTGGAGCGGATTCCAGATCTCTCCTTATTCAACAAAACTTACAGGAGTCAAAACCTCAGTAAACGTTTCTTAGTAGAAAAGCATCTTTAATCCTTTTTCTTTGAATGGGTTCATGCAGTAAAACTCAGGCACCCAGAGTGATGAAATGTCACTAGGAAGTGAATGGAGCCCAAGGCAGAAGAAATGGAGTTCAGCAGTTCCAGTAGTTTGAGAACTGGGGGGGTGGAGAGGGAGGAGTTTCATGCCTGATGCATCATCATTACTTGTTAAACATGTTTTGGTGATAAATACAGTGCTCTAAATGGGACCATGCTGGTACAGCTGTTTTGAACTTTTGGACCCTAATAGTAGATTTCAGGCTGGAATTCCCTTTTAGATTCTGAATTCAAGAGCTTTTCCCCCTGTTTGGTTTCAAACACCAATTATAGTTTGTGTTAATATGTATAGTAACTGTATGCAGTTTAACTGAAGTGTTCTTTTATGGCAACGTGCTGTGCAGCCAGTCATAATCCTAATATTAGTATTGTAGAGTAAGGAGATGGGTTTTGTTTTCTTTTTTTTTAAGCATGTGGGAAGACAGTCTTTGTGTTTTGTAAGATTTGTGTCTGTCCTGGTATGGTCATGGAAATGTCAAATTTCAAGCTTATGAGTAGGACTGAAAAATCAATGGTAAAATAGAAATGGACAATGTTGCTGCATATGGGAATGCAGTGGTTTCTTGCACTGAATGTGGTGACATGGGTTGAATTGACAGCAAAGGGAGCACATTAGAGTTCATGGGCCATGGGGGACTGTAATTTTATGGTAGTTCTTGCTGCTGTGTGTTGTTTCAGAAGTATTTGCATTTTGATAGCATGTGTGATGTTTCCTGTATGAAGTTTGAGAAGTAGTTTGAAGTAAAAGTTAGTCTGACTTTTTTGGCCTTCTGTTTTGTTGGGGTTTGCCTTTTTTGAACTTCAAGTATTATGTGTGACAATAATTTGGACTTTTAAGTTGTATATAAAAACTGAACTGAATGCATATAAAGCTTGCGGGGGGGGAACCACCCTTGTTCCTGTGTTTGTGTTATTCAGAGGGTGTTAAAGGCGTGCTGGATGTTCTGATTTTTGTTGTAGAACCTGGTCCATCATGTCTTGGCAGTATGCTTATGCCTGTTCAGGAAACAGAGTGGGAAGAGCTTATTCGTACTGGCCAGATGACTCCATTTGGAACTAAAATACCTCAGAAGCCAGAGAGGAAGACACGATAAATGAAGCATCTGATTTTGAGAAGTACTTAGCAGACCAAGCTAAGCTGTCATCTGAAAGAAAGAAGTTATCCCTTCACAAAGGAGCAAAGAAGAAAGCACAAGCCAAAAATGTTCTGTGCATAGCTCCCACATCTACTACAAAGGAAAAAAGGGGTAAAGTCCTGTCAAAAACAGATAAGCGCTTAAAAAAACATATGAGAAAACTTCAGAAGCATGTCCTTCAGATTCAATCAAAGGCAGAGATTCCAAAAGAAAAGAAATCTCTTGAGGCCAGGAAGTTCAGGCATGAACAGGAGGATGATAGTGGAGAGTCTGAACATGTACCTGATGAGGAGCTCTTTGATCCAGAAGCAGCAGAAGAGGAGGAAGAGCAGGCATCTTCTCATGCTGAGAATGATTCTGATTATGAACTCAGGAATTTGTCAAGAAAAAGAAAATACTTGGTGAAGAGAGATTTTAAAGAAACTGAAGATGATGCTGACTTCTTTCCAAGCTCTGAGGAAGAAGAGCATACACTAGGGAAGCGCAAAGTAAGGAGATGGAGAGATGATGGAGATGAAGACTATTATAAACAGAGACTAAGGTTAGTCCTAGACATTTTTATTAGTAACATTAACAAGTGACGTTGAACATGCAAAGGGCAATGTCTGTAATACACTGCTAGGAACTGAAGTAAGGAAAACGAGACAGTCGGAATGATCATAGCCTTCCAAAAGGAATCAGACATACCTCTTAATTACAGGACTTTACTATTAGATTTTTGTGATTGTTATAGGTCCTTCAGTAATAAGCTATTTGTGTATCAGTGTGTGTTTGTTGTTTGCAGAACTATGAATGTGCCCAAAATCAAGTATATATCAAACAACGTATTACTTGGCAGTTTTATACTTAAGTACTGCCTTTGTCTGTAGATCATATACCTACCTTTCAAAAAAAAAAAAAAAAAAGATGATGTCTTCTGTTTGATAGGCAAAATTACAGTGCAGACAGACAATGCCCTCTCTCTTCAGAGGGATGGCACTTCTCCATTGAGAGAGAAATCTTTGGTTTTGGATGGGGTGAGATGCTTAGTTTTCAGCTTTAAATAATTAACTGCTAGACAAGAAGAAATCATTTGAATAAACTATAGTTACATATTATTTTTGTAGAATCTGTTAGTTTATTGAAACCCGAGGCAATTACGTATAGTTTATATGGCTAACAGGTTTATTTGAAAATCAATATTAAAAGGATCTTCTGAATTTAAACTTGTAAAAAAATTATACTGGAAAGGACAATATCTATATTATTTAATTATTAGCACATGATATGTCTTGCATAACTTATATTAGAAGACATAAGTAATGAAGACTGGACATTTATACTGCTGTTAGTCAAGTCTAAAAAGAGCTGCTCTGTTTGATAGTGATTTTCCTCTCTTTTTTTTCTTGATGAGAGTGAGGGTAAAAACATCCTTATCTAAAGAGATAGTGACAATGGTGGTAGTAGTGGTGTTTTCTGTTGCTATGATGACCTAAGGTTGTAAACTGAGTAAGGTTTCTAAGAAGAATCTGTTAGGTGGGGAAATACAGCTAAGAACACAAATTATTTTTGAAAATGGCAGCTGAAACACCTTGTGCTAATCTGTGATTTATGAAACTTGTATAACCTGTGTGTTGATGATCTCTCTGTAGCTACAATGTGCTGTTGAGGTGTTTTCTCTACTGACAGCATAGCTGTTGAGCTCCTAACAATAAGACTAAGCAATGTTTCCATTTTCACAACTGCCTGGAAAACGTTTTGAAGGGCAACGAATTGACATGTGATTTGTTAAGCTGTTAAAATGCTAACTAGACATGCCAGTGAAGTTAAGAGACATTTCTGCACATACCGGGAGTCAAAAGATAAAGATGACTGAAATAGTTGTGTTGTTTTAATTGTTCTCTAACCGCTGGCATGTTGACTCTTTTCTAGTATAAGGGTTGAGCTTCAACTTCAGCTTGTTGATAGCATGCTTACTTTTAATTAATTACCTTTAGTGAATGTCCTTCAAGTAGTTTTATAGTCCTCTAGAAAATGGATGGATTCCAACTTGAAAACAGCTGCTCTAGAGTGAAAGGAAGAATATATATTAGGGCCGTCAGTGAAGCGTGATTGGGCGTCACATAGGTGATTGGGCCAGTGGTAAGGCCTAGCATAGGAACTTGGTTAATGCTTGGGAGACTCTAATTTTACACTTCAATGGAAATATAAAATCTTACGGATTTAAATGAAGCTGTATCAGAGAAGGGGTCAAGAAGTAGAGGTATAAACACCATCTCTTCCTGTGGTGAGAGCCTGAGCTGCTGTGGAGGAAGAGGTATCATCTGGTAGCAGAGGTACTCACAGTTGTAGAATTACTGGTACAAAACCTCAGGTAGGAAGAGCCTAACTTCACTTTCACATCCCAGGTTACAAAGGTAGATCAGGAGCTGGTATGATATGCAATAGGTTTGCAATCTCAGGATGCTGCATTTCAAAGTTAAAGCATAGTTTAATGCTCTTGAATAGAAGATTTTGGCAAGTGGCTAATCTGAACAATGTCCGAAGGGTCAAAAAGAAATATGTTTTTTATTGGATGCATTAACAAAAATTAATTGTACTTAATTGGTAAAATATTTACTATTTTATTGAATAAAACTGTACTCTTCACATTTAAATTAGACCAATATTAAATCATTTTTAATTCAGTGTTTTCATCAAGAGTAATTTATTTTGATTGAAAGTTTTAATATGACTCTCAGCTTAAATTCATTCAAACACATTTTTTAATAACTTTAAGATTGTGACAATTTATCCTTAGCAAAGTCATATCATAGACTACATTTCTTTTGGTTACTAAAGTTACAATAAAAGCCTAAATGAATTTTAGAAATATCAATAACTGTAATTGCTACCAAAACACTACATCTCTTAAAAATTTCATAGCTATAGTTATTGTGGCTGTTAAGCTGCAGCTGTCCACATTGACGTTTTTATGCTGACACCCCCAGGTAATCTTCATTATGGGAAATGCCATGAGAAAATAAAATGTAGTGAATTAAGAAACATATTAAGAATGCTATAGAAATGCTGTCATTTGCTTACATTTATGTCTTGTTTCATGTCAGTTTTACTTTTGAATGCAAACGAATGGGTGAGATTATGGTATATTTTACCTCTGAGAGAGGCAGGGGAGAATCCTTTAGGATTACTTTAGTCTTCTGAACATCTAGTCTTGTGCTTGGCGCCGAATACAGTCCTACACTCTTAAAGATTGAAAATGAGTTTCCGTAACATTAAAACTTTTCAGAGATGGGACTTGAAGAGATTGGTCTGTGTCAAGGGGAAACTACAATGATGTTGTTAAAGCATGATAATTAGCTAACTGCGGGACTGCAAAGCATCTCTAGAACAAGAGTCTGTTTTCAGAACAGGAGCTGGTGTTATCTGCAGTAAACAGGGCAGGCGGGAAAGCACCTGGCTCTTTCCTTTCCTTCTCTAAAGGCTACTTGCAGTGGTCTGCCTAGTCACTCAAAGCAAGATGTGATCAGTGGAATGTGAAAAAGTAAAAGTTAGCTATACAGAATTCAGCTCATGCTCTCAGTAATTTCAGTTCTTTTCCCTTTTGTGGGTCTTGCCTTTCTTTAGTTACTATTACTGGAGTCATGTTGCTGTGCAGACACGCAGGGGAAAAAAACTTCTGTTCTGAAAAGGTTAACGTCTAAGGTGAATCATAGCTTGCAAGAATAACAAACAGTAGCAAGGAACATCAGGGTTATGGAGAGTAAGGTAAATAAGTAGGATATTGTCAAGCAGCTAAAAGGTAAGTTTAAGATTCAGTGAAAAGTAGAGTATCATCATTCCCAACTGTCTTTCATACTGGCTGTTACCAGCTGAACCCAGAGGATTAGGTCATCAGTCTCTAGGATGGTGCTGAAGTTCTCAGAGGCTTGATCCCCATCCCCAGGTATGTTATCGGTGTATATTTTGTCATACGCAACAGTGACCATCTTGGTCTAGAAATGTTCAAAATTGGCGCTGGTGGAATCTACCTGTTGCCTCCTGCCTGGTCAGGTCATGGCAGAGCCAGTTTCTTTGAAGGCTATGGAATGAGTGAAAATGCACCTGTTTGCATACAAGTAACCTTGTATGCAGACTAAATGCATAGGAAATAAACGTTTTCGTTGTTCTCAACAAGAAAACTGTTGCATGGTTTTCTTGTATTATTCTCAAGACTCTGCAGGTGTGGAAACTGCAGCTTAATCAAGTTGGGGGTTTTTTGCATATTAATCAAAGTTTTCCTTTGAATGTATTAAAATGCAAAGCATAAGTATAACGAAGTAACTTTTTCTGCTTATAATATATGGAGTTAACGTGTTACATTATTGACATCACTAATACAGTATCTGCATAAGATAATAGCTTAGAGTCAAAACAAAACAAAAAATTAGCTGTCTTATGGTCACTATTCCCATAGCAGTAGTCAGTATGTTTCTGCCCGCTGCTTCAAAGAAGGAATTACATGTCATGTTATGGGAATTAAGTGCCATTATCTGTGTTTCCTTGTGTATTCTGTATAGTTTGTGGAGTACAGTTGTTTGAGTTTTTCAATTGCTGTCAAGTGCTCAGAGGCAAGGCTGGGAAAGCTGCTTCTTTCCATGTCTCCTAAGTGAATCCAAGCAGCTGAGTAGCTGGAAGTTGTGGCTATCAGTGCACAAAGTAGTCGATACAAAGAATCAAACCAAAAAATAAAATTTGCTTAAAAATAAGTTGTTTTTCTCAAATCAGATCGGTTTTCATGTGCTAGCTCTCTCTGAAGTATCTGAGTCACTGAATCTCTTGATGTTTCAGAGTTATAAATTAAAAAAGGATTAAATACTACCTTCTACCTTTCCTGAAGGATACTTTCTTAGAGCATCCTAACTGCTCTTTAAAATGACAAAGCCAAAACACAAATGAAGATACATTTTTGGCTCACTTGCTGAGTACACCTTTCATTCTAAGCTCAAGTGTGTCATTGTCTACATCAGTCTTAATTTACTTATGGAGACTTGTGGTACTAACTGCATGTATTTCATCTGTTAGGACGTACCAATTAAATCCATCCATATAGACCATAAAAAGTTAGATCAGAAAAGTAATGCTGAATGCTTCAATTTAGCAAATTAGAATAATCTGTAAGGGATTCTTAGCTGTATAAAGTAGAAAACATATTGTGCTTCACAAATGCAAACTATATTAAACACTCAGCTTGGTTCCTGACTGTATTTTAAAAAAAAAATCAAATTGTGCTCATTACTGTTTTGGATGCAGAATTTCTTTCTAGGGTATTGCAATAAGTGGGAAATGGGCTTAGTATCTGTATACATTCTTATATTAAGAAAGATTTAATTGTATGATATATGGCTTCATACTGCACTTCCAGGATAAAATTGTATTTATGTCAGTGACCATGGACAACATAAAATAGATTTCTCAAAGGTCATGCTTTTATTTTCAAGAGACCTTGGTGATATAGTAAAACCTGTATTTTCTGATTATTTGGGCATACTTATGATTTTAACTGAGGTGCCTAAGGAAGATACTGACCAAATGGTCAATGTGTTACTGTGTGGTTAAGTCAAATATGAACTACTGTTCTTTCTCCCTCCAAAATTTAACTTCTGGGGAAAGGTACAAGACCAGACTGACCAACTGACTGATCTGGTCTAGCAAATAGTTTGTCCTCCCATTGCTTCAGCCACTTAGATATTTACACTTTTTTAAAGAAAATAATGAAGTTTTAGTGTAGAATATCTTAATACAATGTCTTGCATTAAGTTCACAGCCTTTCAAAAACTGAATAGCTTCTTCAAACTTTGAAAGTTGTTAGTGGTAACAACAAATTTCTGCTTTTTCTTTAAACTGGTAATTAAGGGCAAAAAACCCTCCAGACCTTTGGAAGAGATATACCAGAGCCTTCAATACTACAGCTTATGTAATTATGCCCTTCAGTAAAGTAGCAGATGCAGTGTGTATAAAATAAACTTTTCTTTAGGAAAGTTAAGTACAGGATTTATTAGTTCAAATTCTATACCTATTTTCTAGGTATCTAATAATTTTAAGAGAAATCCCAACATTGATCACCCTTCTTGCAGAAAATATAGTAGTTACATTAAGGTGAAGTGCCTAAATTCCTGGACAGCTACGAGCTAATCTCAGAAACGTTTCTTCTTGGTTGTTTCTGGATCGCTTTTTCTAATGTACACTAGAGGGCAATCTGTTTCTTCCCAGGGGAGACTGAAGCTCCAGTGTTGGCTACTGGCGACTCATATTGCAATATAGAATTAGAAGCAAACTCTTGTACAAGTTATTGCCCTGCTTGAGTTAATACGGATTGTTTACCTAGCTGTCACTTCGTAAGCTTTGTAATCTACAATTGTTTCAATTTTAGTGTGGTAAGTAGGAGTTTTCTTCCTTGGTTTGAGCTTTGTCATAACCCAGTCAGATAAAATAATCAAGTTCTGACATGTCTCAGTTCTAGTAATGACACACTGTGAAGCAATGACTGTCAGCATTTGTCAGTTTGAATCGTTGATCTTTTTCTGGAACTCAGAAGAATAATTGACCATCTGTGCCTGATAGCACAACATTGTAGTACTGAACAAAAATAGATGCATTTTTATGCTGTTCCTCTAGAATGTATTATATCTGCCTGCTAGACTCCCGAGCACGAATGTTATTTTCCTAAACCAAACATTTAACAGACTGCTAGTTTAAGATAGAGATTTCCATTCCTGTGTTAGGATAGGTATGTAAAAGTATCTGTGGGGAAAACTTTGACACTTTATATATTTTTAGTAAGTTCTTTTTTTACTACTTAACTGGATACGTGATTTCATATAATGAAATAAGAACAATCCGATAATAAACATTAGCAACTCATGAGTTTTTAATCAGAAAACTGAAGACTATCTTTGTCTGTCTTGGTTTTTTTTCTCCTGCATATGCTGCTTTTTCTCTCCATCATGATTTTTGCTTCTGAAGACATCCTGACTTAAGAGATCAAAATATATTCCGGCGAAGCTGGCTCTCTAAACCTGTCCAACATTGTGTTGTCTTAGTTAGTTTTGCAGTGCAATCGTTTTTGGCAGTTATTTTAACCTGTGTATATTTGGAGATGGTGGTGTTTATTTTCACTTAATAAAACAATACCACAGTTCCAAGTTTGTGACTGGTTCCATAAAGGCAGACTGTAAGTATTTTCCCCAAAGATACTGGTGAAAAGTTGATCTAGAAACCTGCCATATTAGCTTTCTTCCTTGAGAACGGGTATATGATTGTGGTGTTTGTATATGAAGTGTTGAACTTCTTCCCTGTTCTTTTGTTCCTAACCCGAGTTTTTTAAACAAATTTGCCAGAGATGCAGAAACCTTTAAGTGGAAGTTCCAAAAAGTTTCACTGAAGTAAGTGGTCAGAAAGACAAGAGAAACTCTATTAATGCTGCCACTGGAGAAAACACAGCTTGAGCTTAAGTCTTGTTACGAGTTTGCAGATCCTGTGGAAGATGATTTTGAATGACCTAACAGCAGGAAGAGTCTCTTCTAGTGTTTTCACCTTATTTCACACCAAAGAATGCAGAGTAGTGTCCTTAGGAGACAGGCATCATTGGTTTAATTGTCCCCAGAACTGCTTATGTAGTTAAAAAATACAAGGGGAACACTAGACCTTCATTGCCTGTTTGGTGTTTTTTTTTTTTTTTCATTCACTGATGTGTTCAAGATAGTAAACTTGAATCAAATTTGATTTTAAAGAGTTTTAGCTGACAGGATTTTTCTCTAGTGGAGAAGGCACTTCTCATATCAGGCTGGAAGGAGTTTCGGTACTGTACGTGATACTGTGCCAGTCGTGTCTGCTCTTAACATGACTGAGCTAGATAGCAGCTTGGCTGAAGTCTTAAAGACTTGGAGCAATGCTTGAGATGTTTTATAGTGTCTTCTGGTTTGTTTGCCAGGTTGGAAGTGTAAAATGTCAGGGATGGTAGCTGTCTTACAGGCAGTTGTTTGAGAAGAATGATTATGCTTCTTTTTCCTGACATCGATAAAACCGGGCTAGTAGCTTTGAAAACATAAGGCACTCAGCCCATAAGCTTAAAGCACACTGGATTGTGCATAGCAAGGCTGGAAATAAAATACAGTTTGCATGTCAACCTCTAGATGCAGTTTTTCTTTGAATGCTTGAAAGCAATGCAGAGCTTTACAGAAAAATCAGGATAAATAACTTTAAAAATTAAAAAAAAAGAAAGAAGAAAATGTGAATTTCCTCATGTTTTTAAATAGTTCAGAAATCCTTTTTCACAGAATATGGAGTGTGTTTTGGGGAAGGGGGTTAAGGTTCTTGTTTTGTTTTGTTTTGTAGAACTCTGTTAATCCATTATGCTGCCATGTTTTTTGCTGCTACAGGGGCAACCTAAGCTAACAAGAAGCTGTTTGTGTAATGGGTAAATAGTAAAATGTTGCCAGGAGGGACACAGACTATTCCCGCACCTGTAATGTTTGTGATTCAGAAACTGGAGGTGTACTGGAAAGCTGTTGCATCCTGTTAAGTACCCCCCCATCCAGTTACTACAGGACTGTTCTAGAGTGCATTCTCCAGGGTTTCTTCAATGTAGAGTTAAAAGACTGGACAGATGAGTTTTCCAACATCTCACTCAGGAGGCTGTTTGTCGCTTAATGCAGCAGATTTCAGTGCTAGGCAGCTTAACTTACTTTTTTTGGCCCGAGTTTTCCGTTTGCTTCTTTTCTTCCCATCACTACTATTTATAGTTCTTTGGGACCTGAACAATTTTAGTCTTCATGTATTATATTTCAGATACTTCTAGACTATTAGGTCTCCTTCTCCTTCAGCCTTTTTATGAGATGAAATATGGCAACTTTTGCGCTACATCCAGAACGGTAACATAAGGATGTTTTTCATCTGTTCTATAGCTTGCCAATTTCTGTAGGGATTTTGTCAGTTTATACACCACATCATGTGCCTGCAGTGAATGGCATTTTCATGAGAGAATTCCAGCAAAACCCAAATTGTCAGTGAAGTGCTGTTGATTGGTTAGTACGTACCCAGCTAGCAGTAGCATACACTTTACTATTACAGGTAGATGTTTTGGGGTCACTAAAACACAAGTCCATAATTTCCTTGGATGTTGAAGATCCTTTGGTACTTTTTCAACAGCGCGGGGAACGATGGGACGGGAAGGTAATTCTCTAGGCTGCCTAGAGTCCAGATAAGATCAGGCTGCAGACCACAAATCACTCTGTAATTTCAAAACCTCAAAAAACTCATCCTCTTAATAATGACTGCTTAACAGATTTAGAGCACGTCACCGTAAAGATAGGGATGTTTCCAACTGAGCTGTATAAGATTATACACAGCTGCACATTTCTCTAGGTGAAGGAAGTTATTTAAGTATTTGGTTAAATTAATAAAATAGCTTTGGAATACCTAAGCTTTATTGATATTTTTGTGGGGTTTTTTATGGAGGCTTAGGAATTTAAGGTAGCCAGATTTCTTTGATGGTGTTAACTGTTGATTCCATTATATTAGTATTTCTGTCTATAGAAAATTGTAACTAGCTATAAAACTCTGAAGGCTTATAACTAAATAGGAGCGCATGCACCTTTTAATATGTCAGATATTTTGAACATTTACTTGCATAATTCTCTCCTCCAAAGGATTACTATTTAAATCATGACATCAGAGAATGCATTGTTGTTCGGTTTTTACGTGATCAAAAATTCAGTGTAGTTTTCATGTAGTATCTTTTCTATGCAATAATTGAATGTTGACTCCTTCTCAACACTTGTGTCACTCCAGGAGGTGGCAAAAAGAACATTTGAAGGACAAAGAACATCAAAGAGCTGAGGAACTCTCTGAAGAAAGTGACACTGAATTTGAAGAGGGTTTCAAAGTACCAGGATTTCTCTTCAAGAAACTTTTTAAGTATGTATTGTGTACTTTAATATTATGCTGCTGTATGCTGCTAATAATAATAGTAGCAATAGTCATGGTGATTTCTGGATGCCCTTTGCTGCAACTTTTACTTAAGTGAATGATGCCTCAACTTGTACTTCAGTTGTTTCTGTATGATTATTTCTTTAAAAAAGGCTCCAGGATGAAACCTCAAAGAAACTAATTTATTACGAGCACAAAATGCAGTTACATGAAAATACGGATGATAACTGGCTGAGGTGAATATCATGAATGCGTATTAGCTAAACTACGAATTGAGAAGCTCTCCTTGTCTATTTTTATAAATGCTTTCTTTTATTGATTTTTAATTCAGGTGTGGAGTGGTAGAATAACTTTACTTTGAGGAATAAGGTGTTGGCAAGACGTGATAAAAGAAATGTAGGTGTTTCTGTGATTGAGTGGAGTGAGTGAAATTTTCTGCCGGTAAAAAATACAGCCAACTTTAAATAACTACTCAAAGTCTACTCAAAGTAACTACTTATAATTCATATTATAAAATAATCTTGAATATTTTGCCCAGTAAAATTTTAAAATATGGAAAGTGCATTCTTAATTCCTTTAGTAGATCGAATACACTTTACAACTCATTCTTTAGTTATTTAATGCTGGATTACAGATTGGACATGACTGCTTTCTGTTTCAGGTTTTTTGAGACCATGGTGCCCAGTGACACTTTCAAGTTCATCTCAAAAAGCTATTTACAAAAGGCAGCCCAAACAAGCTAGCAGCTGACAGGTTAACTTCATCCATAATCTCTCCCTTAACTTCCATGCATAATAGGCTTGAATTCATTTTTGTTGGCAACATGTCACACAGCAGGAAAAACATCCTGTATTTCAAAAGCTAACTCTAAAATCCTATAATTACTGTAGTAGAAAGGCCTGGTTTATAACGGGCATGCATGGTATCCCTTCCAACAGGACCACTTAGTCTTAACCTCAAAGAAATTATTACTGTTGTCCTGCAGTTCCTCAGAAGGAGAGCACTAACTCTGAAATGGAATTTTATTAATGACTTGGTTGCCAGGACCATACGCAGCCAATATGTGGTCTCCTGTTGTTTATGCAAAGGATTACTGCAGAAGTAATCATCCTGAGAACGGATGTGTGGTCTGAGCAACCTGAAGGGAATTGAAATAAAGCAGACAACTGAAAATTAATCTTAGAGATACCAGCCTCACTAATGAAGGGTATCCCTGCAATCAACTGCATGAGTCAGTTGGCAAAACTTCTTAAGTGGTTAGAAATATCAATTGAGTTGAATGATTCTTCTGACTTGTAACTTAAATGCTGAAATCTCCAATGTAGGACGGCCCATAGTCAACAGGTATTAAACTTTGAGTTCTGAGCAAGTTTAGTACAAAACATGGAAGAATATTGACCCAAGGAGGTATACAGCAGTATACTGTAAGTGATCTGCCTGCATAGTTGAATTGAATTCTAAAGAAGTTAGCTCACGCTAGAAATAGTAGACCCTTAAGTTCATTGTTTGGTAAGCCTGTTAAAGCAGACAATCTGTTTCTTCCCTATATACTTGTCTGCTTTGAGGAAAGTTCAGTAAGAATACCATTGGTTCTGCTGTGGAACAAAACCAAACACAGTGAGGAAGACTGTCTTACAAACAGTGCCTTACGCTGTCTGCACTTAGCCTGAGAGAACGCTATCTGTATAAACAAGAAACCAGGTTTCTTCATCAATTGCTTTCAGTGTGTGATTTCCCTGATATGCCTGAAATGCAATTTTGTCTCAGCAGCTATGCAGCTAACTCTGCTAGCTACTGTGGTGAATTTTGAGGGATGCATCACAGCATGATTGCTTATGTGAAATACAGTCCAAACATAACTATTTTGGAAGACCAGGCAACATTTTTATTTTACTTCTACAGTATTTTTGGAGGAAAAAAAACCAAAACATAGAAATTGGTGAATGAAAGCATAGGATTAAAGAGAATTGATTATCTCGCCATATAACTATAAAAAATTATTGGGGGGGATTTTTTTTTTACTTCAACTTTTGTGTAGTTGCAATTATTGCATGTTTATATGATTATATAAAGAAAGCACCTGCATCTTTTCCATTTTTAGATAACCTTGGAGCAGAATTTTTCACAAACTTAATTCTGTACTGTGAAACTTTCTCAGGAGAAGGGGGAGAGGGAGAAACGTGCTTATAAATGCAGCTGGCTTTTAAGCACTAGGATGTAATCCTAAGAAATAATACAAAATAATATCAGGAAGTTCTGGAATGGTTGTCTTCTGAAGAGGCATGCTGGACATTAGTGTGGAGGAGCAGCTTCTGTCTGGAATTAGGGTTCTTTCCAATTCTTTAATATTTGTGTCAGAAAATGTTTTGTCTTCAAAAAATGTAGTAATGGTAGCATCTTAACCCAATTATAGCTAATCCTGCAATCCATTTCATAGTTGGTTTTAGATTTGCTGCATTTTTAAGGTGAATTAATCTCTAATAAAAGGGGTTTTTTAAGGGCTTCTTCGTATGATGCATTTGAGACACCAGCAGATAGTATGATGTCTGAACCATTAGATGTGTTCTTTGATCATCTTTTTCTAACTACTCAAGCTGTTTGTTTGTCTCCGTTTAGCATTCTTTGAATCCATACAGAACTCCTCATAAATTGTTTTTTAATAGTACTTTGTAGACACCAGTGTCATTAGCTGTCAGTAGTCCTAAATATTATTTGTTCAAAGAATGAAACAGGATTTTGAAATGCACACAAGACAATGCCCTAAAATGAACAATCCCTATTTCACAAAAAAAAATGTGTTTTGCTCTTTGCTGTGCTCTGCACTCCGGGAATGCATGCCATCAAGAAAATGGTGTCAGTAACCTTGTTCTTCCTCTAAGTTACAAGACACAGAAGTGCTGAAATGTGTTTTTTTTTTTTTTAACCATAATTTAAATATACTGTTTCTTCATTTCTTTCTGTTCTGTTTTCAATTTAACCCACACAGGTTGTGTGTTATTCCTACTGGTCTCAGTATTTCATATCATTATAAAAAAGCATGTCCTAAAGTGATTCTCAGTCCAGCATTTTATCTCCACCTTTTCATCTTGCCATTGTAAATCTTGCTTTCTAGTCTACTTCTTTTAATTGGAATGTATTTTACATTGTCGCTTATACAATTTCCAGTGAATGACTGGGAGTAGAAATTGCCCTGGTACTCTCACATAATAAAGCTCTGCTGCATCCCATTCACTGGAATAGTTTCTATTATTTTGCCTTCCAAAACATTTTGCCTTGTTGGCTTTTTTCTTCATTGAAAGAGGCCAAATGTTATTAAATAAATTTATGTAAAAAGAAAGCATGCTTTGGCAGATGTGATCAGTTTTCACAATGGAGCATGAAGTCTGTACCTCTTACAAGTCAAGCTTTTCCTTAAGTTCAAGGTATATGTTCCAAATAATATAATTTACTAGACCCTTACATGTCGTCTTTTCTGAAAAGATAATGCTTTTTTAGAGTAGCTTTCCAAGTTGCTTTTAACACTTAAAATATACATGAAATAAAATACCCTCTAATTATCATGACTATCAGTTTAATTAGAAATGTTTTAGTGTTGCATAAAGAATGAAAGTCACATGTAATGTCTGAGTGCATCAAAAATGTATGACCTAGTAAATACAGCACTCATGTAAAACACACATCCAGCGTGTTACTGTAACTAGTATAAGAACCTTGCCAAATAATTAATTCATGAGTACTTTCTGTTATGATCTGTATTATCAAACGTTTGCCATCTTCTTTTTCCTTGTTTTAGGTACCAGCAGACAGGTGTTAGGTGGCTCTGGGAATTGCACTGCCAGCAGGCAGGAGGAATTCTGGGAGATGAGATGGGATTGGGCAAGACCATCCAGATAATTGCCTTCTTGGCAGGTCTGAGCTACAGCAAGATAAGGACTCGTGGTTCAAATTACAGGCAAGTGCTCCTCTGCAGACTGTCAGTCTGTGGAGCTCAATTAATATTTCATCAGATGTATTGCTGGTGGAGGAGGGTCCTGTGAATTATTAATGACATTTCAATTACAATATTCCTTTAATTCTTTTAGTGGGGGACATCAAAGGAAAAATTTTACGAGACAATGGAGCTGTAGGGCAGGAAAAATTAAACATGTAACACTTTTAATGAATTCCAGGCATTGATGCTTCATTTTGCAGATGAGCCACACTAGATATTTTGGGTCAATACAGTGTCTAAGGTTAGCTTCCACAAATGGATTGTTTACAAACTCAATTACATTAATATCAATAGTTTACACAATATGGAATTTTAAATTAGCTGTAATACCTTTAGTTCCATTTATTAAATTTTACATTAAAATATTTGTTCTGGCAAGCCACCAGGTAAATGCTTTACAGGAAGTAGCAAGCTGATTTGCAATGAAAGTTAGAGTTTCTGATCGGCAGGGAATTATCCATGCCAAAAAAATAGTAGTAATAGTAAAAACAGTAACTTATACAGAGGAATTTCCATCTGCCCTTTTTTGTTGTTGTTGTTGCTTTTCAAAACTATGTTAGAGTGACTGGCCTTTCTTACAAGGTCTTTTATGCTTTTTTGTTACTGAACAATGCTTTAAAATTCCTTCTTCATAGGTGAAATTACTGGAAAAGATACTTGTTGGTGTCCTTAGATTTACAAAGGCATGCGTGAACAATACTTGATTTTTCTAGTTCTGTTGGCCTGTTTACCTGATGTAAATTACTACATGCAATTAAGCAAATGTCATAGTACTATAGTAAACAAAAATAATTAACTTTATATAGAGGCATATTTAAATTATGTTCAGCATGTACATGAATTGTAAAATAATGCTTTAAAGAGAAAATATTACTGCCTTTTCTCCAGTTGCTTCCTACTGTAGCCTTTATATAAAAATCTCCAGGTCTTCCATCACTCGGGTCAGTTGATTTACTTTGATATGGCTGCCTGATTTAAGGATGCTACTGTACAGATTATTTTGTGTAGGTATATTCCCTGCCCCAGTTGGAGGACCACTGAGTTGATGGAAATCTTTCAGGAACATATCTTGACATTGTTACACAGTTACAGCTTAAGACCTAAGATACTGCGGTGAAAACAATGAAATTTGAAAAGGCCAAAATATAAATACACACCTAAGTTGCAGTGTTCTTTCTGCATGTAAGATTATGTGTTTGGTTTCATTTTTTGGCTGGTGCATGTCATTAAGTCCATCATGATAGTAATCCCATGGGAGGAAACAAGGTTTAATTTTTTGGTGAAACCTACTCTGATTTTTGCTTGTGTGCCGTAAGGCAGAGGGTCTAAACAACTTGATCTTTGCATGGGCAAGTATTTTCCCCATCTGCACTCTGAACTAGCAGGCAGTAACACTGGCTAGCTAGCTTCTATCTGAAAGCCATGTAGTCTAGTAAGCAGAAGACCTTCTGGTCAGTCTGGCTGAGAAGCAAGCATTAAGATTGGATGTAGTTGTGTTGTCAGCATGTTTAAATGACTTCCAGCCTAGCTTGTATCTCATTACCTTGATGTGTAGGTGGAGCTAGCGTGCTATTGTATGAATCTGGCACTGCGGGCTTTCCCAGCCTCAGCTGGCCTTCTGTGAAATGGAGATCATACTGTAATCCCTGCACAGAATTGCAAAGATTGTTGTATTTGGAGGCACTTGAGTATTAAGACAATAGGGTTACTTTTGTTGATATTCAAAATATTCAGCTTTATTTTCTATCAGTGAAATTTTCTGCAAAAGTATCCTTTAAAATAAGGTGAATAGAAATTTCCTTTTGTAAACTGCTTCTGATTCAAATGGTTTTCTGACCTTTGAAGGAGCCTCAAGACTAGCTGAAGTAAGGAACTACTTGTTACGTGGAGTATAACTGTTACAAAAATGAAAATGTCTCACTTTTAACAGTTATTGAGCCATACAGCTGGGGAAAGCCAAATGTCATGTGAGGTATCACTAGAAGCATTGCAGCTATGGTGGTGTAAAGGATATAAGGGAAGCAAGATTTTTAGAGGGGGAACGGTCTTTTTTTAGACAAGCTGAGATAGTTGGAACAAGCAACAGCTTTCAGACCAATGGTCCTTTCACAAGAAAAAACAAAGCAGCAGCAAACTTCAAGTAACCCATCTCTAGCCTCTATCTAGGTTGAAATCTGTTGTTGAAACCTGTTGAAGGGCTTCGGTGTCCACAAGTCTGCTTGTTTCCAAATACATTATTTTGTTTAACAAAGATGTTACCTTTCACTACAGACTTGGCTTCATTTATTCGAGAGATCAGATGAGAAACTCTGCCATAAAGTTTATACACTGATTATTTACTCATCTGTGCTCTTCAAGATACTGAGATACAATCATACACATTAAACATTAAGGCTCAATATCTACTATGACTGGCAGAGAGATTAATTTCCATGATGCTTACATAAATAAAAATCCATTGCCCCAGATAATTTGTATTGCTCTTGCTGCTCTGTTCTTTTATTTTCATTAGGATTTAGTTGTCATTTCAATTTCATTTTGAAAGCATGATTTGCCAGTGCTTGGCAATAGAGTTGGTCATAATGCAACATGTTTTCCTCTGCAAATTTTTTGAGTACTTAGATTATATAGTATGATTACAGCTTCCTTTTTCTTGGTAGTAAGTTGCAGGAATAGATCTCATTTGCAATTCTAATCACATCCGATTAAATAAGAACTAATAAAGGATACTTGCTGTGAATTTGGGTTTTATAAACCAGAAGCAACAGAAGAAGAAGGAAGAGATTTGGGTATATTGATCATGCATGATACTGACCATAAGCTATCAGTACAATGCAACTGTGAAAAAGGGACAGAATACGTTATGACAATATATTTGGGGTAGGGCACTATTAGTATCCTGGTACAAGGCACCAGTAGGACTTTGGTTTGGAATGTTACCAGTGTCACCTTTGTTCAAGGAAAACAAATATAAATTGGATGGGCAGCAGAGCAAGTCTGTTGCAATGATTAGGATTATGAAGGATGCCTCCTAAGCGTAGCAAGCAGAAGTGCGTCGTTTGTTTAGTTTTGTGAAACAGCACAGACTGGAAGAAGTTAGATGACTCTTTTATATAAATAAATAAATAAAAGCTCTCATGAGAAGAGTAAAATGTTGGCTAGTGGAAAGTGGTTAGAGCCAGACTAGACACAGAAGAGGTTTCACGCAGCCGTGTGGAGGGGAAGTGGATTTTCTGAAAATTGATCAAAGGAAGTGTAAACTCTTTGTGTAAGCTGGGGGGGTGGACGGGACCTGGATAAACCCAGCATGTGAGCTTATTTCATACACACCAGGGGAATAAACAGAGGTAATTTGTTACTACCCATGAAGAATGAGAAATATGTTCTGAGAAAGTTGGCTTATTATTCTTTTATTATATTATTATATTCTTAAGAGCAGTTGGCTTTTTTGCTACAGATATTTTTAAGAGCAGTAGCAGTGGTTATTTGGATTTGTAGCTTAGCTGAAGCTATTTTTTGCATCTCCAACTTCTAACTTCCCCTTGGATTGCTGGGATTTTTTTAATTAGGCTATGTATATAATATTTTTTCATAATGAAAGAGATAAGCAACATCCAGGTTGTTATTCTGCATATGTATAAGCTTTTAATAAAGAATATTATTTCTTAGTGTCAGCAGTTTCTGAAGGCACTACAGGTTTTTTTAAAGCAGGGTGTTGCTGGTATCTGGGAATTGCTATATGCATGTGATCTTGAATGTATACTGTGATCTTTTGAATTGTTTATTTATTACCACTCGAATAGTACATAGTCGGCCAGACACAGATCAGTATGTGATAAATGTAGCTATTGCCTTTGTTTGCAAAGTCATTTTGTTCTGTTTTTTAAAGAGCAAATATATTTGAAAATAATTACTAGTAACCACTGCTGAGTTTATTTCCTATATGATTGTTGGTATTTGTTTGTGATGGTAATATTTCTTGTTTGGCTGTTGTGCCAGAGATTTTTCTCTTCTTAACCTGAAAAGTAGCTCTGAACTTAATGTACAGAAAGACTTTGTTTCAAACATCCTCAGTAATTCTCAGAAACAATCATTTGATTATGAATAAGAAACTTACGAGAGAGTTTAAGCCCAGCTCAGACCTCAACTTCCATGGATGATATATTCTGCTGCTTTAGAGTCTTTGTCTTATCTGTAAATTATGGTGATAACAGTACAGTATATTGCCAACATGAAGCAGAACACCTGTGTGTGAGTCCATTTGTGAGACTCAAGCTACACATTCTTTTTAGTAGAAGTAATAAAATAGTTGTTTGTTAATGACTTCTTTTCTCTTATAGAAACAGCAGTCACCCAAACCTGATTTGTATTACCACAGGAGGAAGTTCCCTTATGCCTTATTGTTTGGAGCTTTTCTATTTCTGTTTTTATCTTGATAGATGCATCCATTAACTGTTCAGTGGATAGGTTCTTACAGCAGTACCCCTTTCATCTTCCTTTAAAAAACAGACTTCCAGAAAAACAAAGTGCCAATTAATTTCCATAGCTCTCATATTCCACTTGAACTATAAAGTGTGTCATTTTAATATGTGTGTATTCTAATAAGCCACTTAATATAGAGTATTTATTTCATGTTAAAGGGTTTTTTTCTTGAATACTTTATTTTAGGTACCAGGGATTGGGTCCAACAGTGATTGTTTGTCCAGCTACTGTGATGCATCAGTGGGTAAAAGAATTCCACACTTGGTGGCCTCCGTTTAGAGTTGCCATTCTCCATGAAACCGGTTCTTATACTGACAAAAAGGTAATGGTTGACATCCATTATGTAACCCCAGAAGCTTCTCTTTTTTTTTTTGTTTTTTTTTTGTGCTAGCCAAAAAAAAAAAATACCCTGTTCCTGAATATTTCTGTGCAACCTTGTGCTCTTTCTCTGATTGTTTTAAAAGAACAAAAAGTTCACTGTCTTACATAGATTTGATAGGAAACTGGGCCAAAAGGGGATGACATGGGGTACATTTATATTTGTGATATAGACTAATGTTGCCTGAACAAATTAAACATAGTAACAGGTTTCTTGCTTGAGCTTTGCTTGTACTGTAGTCCATGCTAGAAGTTCATGACTAGACTGCTTGTACACCAGATAATGCTTCTAATACTGGTGAATTGTTTCCTTGCACTTCCGTGCATCAGTATGTCATTGATCTAATATTTAACACGTTTTGCTTGCACAGGCAATTTCTCTTCAGTTGGTCAGTATGTCAGTTAATATCAGCTAGTCTCATTTTCTTTAATGACAGTGTTACTTTGTACTTTGTTGGTTTTCTTTTTTTCAGGCAGTGCTTTTTGTGTCTTTTAATTTTCTTGGCCAGTCTCTTAATATGCGTGTTCTTATTCCATTTCTTAAGTTGACAAGCCTGACTTGTCTGAAGTTTCACTCCTTAGTACCTTGCAGGAACAAAACAAGGAAAACTTAGATTTTTTGTTTTGTTTTGTTTTGTTTTCCTTTGGCCTAATATTTCAGATGCTTAAATGGATTTTCAGGATTCAGCAAAGCATTTTTAAATTTCTCTTTAAATATTTATTGAATTTCTTGTAATAACATTAAAATGATATGGTGCTTAATTGCACTTGATTAAACGTATTCTGAGGTAATTGATGCAGTTACAGTACATGGCAAAAAAGGAATAGCACGCTGTAATGTGCTAATAGCTTCCTGTTGTTCAATTAACTTGGTATGTTTTCAAGCCCTAAAAGTCTGTTGACCTCAATAACATGCTCGCATGTCTTTCTAAATTAAATCGTGTGTGCTTATTTTGGGGTATTTGTTAATTAATGCAGTTGACAAACTGGCTCAAAGTTTTCCATCTGCAGGAATAGTCCAGTTTTCAGGACTTCACTTCCTGTTGTCCTCCCACAAATGCCTGCTCAACAACTTAAAATTAAGGAATTTGTATACCATATGATCACTTTAGATAGGTTCAGTTCTCTAATTCTGCCCTAATGCCTCCCCTTCTGAGAGCTGCAACAGTATGCTTTAAACAAGTGTCACTGCTGATGTGGTCTTCACCTCATGCACATTTTTTTCCTAGGTGCCTCTTAATCAGAGAAGAGCAAGCTCATGACTAAAGTATTAAAAAAAAAAAAAACAACAACAAACAACAAAAAACCAAAAAACTTTCCCATTCTCATTTTCCTTATACCTGCAAAAAAAGTTTACTACTAATTTATTAGCATAAATAACATTTGTACATTGAAAATATATTACATAAAATACAGGCCAGATGATTTACTCCCACCTAGAATTTCTTTTCAATATACATTATTTCTATGAATACATTGGTGCTGATCTGATCTCATGACAATTCCATTTTCTGATAACCTATGGCATTACAGGAGACTGCTTTTGCATATGTTAACTTTATAATACTCATCTAGGGACCATTCTGCCCTTATGCTCTGACATAAGGCGTAAACTTAAATAGGCTTAAGAAATAAATAAGAAAATTACGGTTAGGCTGCATAAGAACATATGTTTCTTCTTTGATTGAAATTAATTTTATACGGCCAAAAGCCAAGTTGCTGTGCATCTGTGGTCTCAATGTTACACGGACCTGTTTGGAAAACTGACAATTCCAGAATTCGCCTGGTGTTCTGTTAATATATCATGGTTTATCACAAAGTAAATGAGAAAAGTTTTGTGCTGGACAGCTAACTTGCCAGGAGACAGGATTGGAGAACTGAACGTTGTTATCTGCTTTGGAGTGAGAAAGGTCACTTCAGCCTCTGGGCTAACAGATGTTAGAATGGTCTGGGCTGGTGGAAGAACATAATTGTCCCCCAAATTAACTGGACATCAGACAGTGAAGATCTTAATGGGTTTTGAGGAATGCATTATCCTGTAGTAGTTGGCCAGCAGGTTGTTCGTGGTAAAAGACAGTATTGCAGCTTGTTCTGTACAGGGCTGAGAAAGACAAATAACAATGTTCTCTAAGGAACAGAAAAAGATTAATCTTAAAACTAATGAAGGAGAATTTTGGAGGAAAAGAGTGAAGCAATGACAGGTGTCATAGAATCATAGAATCATTAAGGTTGGAAAAGACCTCTAAGATCATCAAGTCCAACCGTTAACCCAACACCACCATGGCCACTAAACCATGGCCACAAGCGCCTCATCTACACGTCTTTTAAATACTTCCAGGGATGGTGACTCCACCACTTCCCTGGGCAGCCTGTTCCAAGGCCTGACCACTCTTTCATTGAAGAAGTTTTTCCTAATGTCCAGTCTAAACCTCCCTTGGCGCAACTTGAGGCCATTTCCTCGTCCCATAAGGCAAGACAGTATTTCATAGCAGAAAGAGACAACAGCTGAAGTTTCATTTGATAAAACTTAAGTTGATCTTTTAGGTGAGATGGATCTACGTATTTATTACCATAACATTGTCAGGAATCCTGAAATATTAGCAAATACTAAATCTTTCAGTGCTGGTTAAATTATATGCTTTTATGAATAGGTATTTTCTGTTGCACCTTCTCAGGTACCCAAGCATCAATGCAAGATCCTGTCTCCCAGTTCTTTAGACTTGCCCACAGAAGTATTTGCTTGGTAGCGAAGAGTGGGGTAACATCTGTTCCGATTGTTTTATCATAAATTGATTCTAGGTAATACCTTGCACATCTTTTCGGTTAGTGGCACTTTTTTAGTGTTACAAAAGGACTTCTGAGCAGTGTGGTAGGTGAAAGGCTCACTGATCATTACCTTGGCATATCCTCTCTTCCCAGTCCATCTTGGTTTTCTTTGCAAGCAACTTTAGGATTTTCCACAATAATAATAGGAAATAACAGCCTGAATTGTGAGCACCAGATTGGCTGCAAATCTGGTCGATCTGTTTCAGATGAGTCATTGAGACATCCTGCTTAGATATCTCTGCTGCTATAGTATTTGTATAGGTTTTTAGCATATGTGATGCTTCAAAAGAGACTACTTCATTCCTTTGCTAAAATAACAATGGTAGAGAATTTTTGGCAGTAAGGGAAAGAAGTGTAAAGTTCCAGTTTCACTGCTTGAAATATGACTAACAGTTTAAAGGCCTTCAGCTATCCACAAAGGAAGGCAGATTGGTATTTTAGATGATGGAAGGAAGACACAATAGCAAGTTGGATAGGTTTCCAAGACTTTACAGCTAGTTTAGGGCATTTGGAGGAAATGTAAAACTTGCTTTTTTTTATTATTATTTGTGATCACAGATCATTTGGCTTTTCTATGATGATAAATGTGCTTAAGTTGGAAGCAGTAGAAAGAACCAGATTTGAGTAATAGCCTTCCCCTGTGAAGTCAGCTTTCAGTTTGAACAAGGTACAGTGTTTGTGGCTAAATATGTCCTGTGGTGCTGTCTTATGCTATTAACCTCCTACTATGGTTTACACTCAAATCTGATGTAGCTTCAAGTGACTTGTAAGTATCAAGTGCTCTGAGACCTCTAAGAATGAGAGAAAATAAATAAGTAAATCTAATATAGTGTATCATAAATACTGGTTTATTTATGGTATAGAACAGAAGCTCTGTAAGTGTAGGGGAAAAAAGCCTTCTGTACAAAGAGCTTGTCCTGTTGTTTCAAAACTTCTGATGGCACATGAGCATTTGTAAATCATAGAATGTAAGAGGCAACATGAACTTTAATTATCTTGGTTTAACATATCGCATAGGGAAGGAAGCTGTATTTTTTAAGATCAAGGCTGAACTTTTAATTTCTTGATCTTTAGAACAGGTATCACTGAGCTTAACAATTCTTTCTGGTGGTAATCACATACCATTTGTAAAGCCATAACTTTACATTCCCTTATTCGGGTCAAATGTTGGACACACAATGCAGCCCTCGAAAGCAATTTTCAGTTTATGCTGCTTTCACCTGTGGAACTATCTATTTGAAGATGACTTTGCACACTGAAGATTTTAGACCTTCTAACCTCACAGTAGAGTACGCAATCTACATCTAAAGAAAATAAGCTGCAGAGGTTAGAGTTATTGGTATGACTGCATATGGAATGTCTATTTTAGCCAAAGGCTCTATTTCTGAGCTAAGGACCAAACTCGGATAAACTTAGTATCATGCCACAAGAAGTAGCATTCTTGTTAAATATGTAGTAAGTGCTTTAGCTCTTTTTATTGCAACTTTTACATTATTAAACATTGTAATGTGTTCTTTTGAAGCCTCTTCATGGTGCCATTTAGATTGTTTTGTTGGGGGCAGGGAAATAATAAAGAGGTTTTATAGGTTGAATTTATGGATCTCTGGGCTTAATGGTTGGTTATGAGATAGTGATAAGTCTGCTGAAGAATGCATTTTTGATTCACAAGTGATATACGGTTGTGTAAGTGACTAGATGTTATCTCTCTAAGTTCACACTTGCCTTAAAAGTATCTGAATATTTAGAGAATTTCGTAGTTATCACTAGTCTAGTTCTTTAAGTTCAGTCTTAACTGAACACATTTCTGTTTAAGAAAATTACCATTTTTAATACATAATATTATAGAGGAGTTCAGGTCCTCTTAAATATTTTTAAAAGACCACTTTATGCTAAAAAAGATAAACCTTATTTCTGTAAGCATCAGTCAAAAAAATTGTCCTGGTTTTGTAGTTTCAGAAACAAACTGGTAGCTACAGCAAGGTACCAACATTTGCTTAGAGGTGTGTCCTTAAAATAAATCATAAACATTTTAGCCTTAAGAAATGATGCTTGCCAAAAATCTTCCAGTCTTTGTACATTGCATGTGTCCCAGTGAAGACAAGGCAACACAATCAACTTATCACCCTAAGTTAGGAGAAAATACTGTCCTTGAATTGTAAAGGCCTGAAATACTGTGCTGAACAGAACTACAAGATCAGAATTACTCAATCTACTTGCATGTTCCTCTATTCATTAGCACCATTTAAAGGCTAGAGTTCAGAATTTCAGAGCTAGATAACTGCTGTGTAATCTTTTGGCGTTAGTAGGATTTGTCTCTCTTAAGCTGATATTTTTTTTTTTTTTAGTTTAACAGTGCATGCCCTGAAATATTTCACTGAAGTGTATTTCCTGAGAAAAAAAAATAAAATTAAATTAAACATGAATCTAACCAAATAGGAATTGTGAATTAAAGAATACATAATAAAATAGCATAAACTCTGAAATGCCACAGTCTCAAAACAGTGTGTATCCAATATTAAATCTGCTATCATATTTTAAAATATTTAAAATCATTCCAAGAGCTGCAGCTAAGGCAAAGGCAACCTCTGAGAAGTAAAATGAGAGTTAATAAGTGTTGTAGTGTGAGTTGATAAAATTGTGGTGTTGTATTTCTTCATTGTCAGCACAAATCCTTGTTTATTAAAAATTTAGCTTGAAGGAAACTTTAATTAATTACAGGTTCAGTAAATCCTGACTAGGATTCTGCTGTGGTGTGTTTACAGTGAATGGCCTTCATGTGCCTGTGTTTCACTTCTGTTCTCTCTGCTACCTGACAACGTGATTTATGGCTGTTGTTTTCTACTAGTCCACTGTTTGCCCTCTAGGAGGGATTGGTCTCTTGAGCCTCCATAATAACAGCAGCACTTTCACAAAACATCTTTTAATGACAACAGTGTAGCATTCTGTAAGTCGGGCTAATTGCAGACATACCCTATTAATTGCAAAAACTAGGAGAGGTTACATATTTTACAAGCTTTTAATTTGAAATCGCCCGAGATGATTTGTCTTAAGTGTTTGGGTAGAGATGTCTACAATACTCTATGATAGGCCATTGCTGAGACTCTAGGACACGGTTGCAGACTATGGGCAATGTAAGCTTTGGATGTCCACAGCTGCCTAGAAATCCTGCTCTGTCTGTAGTACAAATTGTTCTAAAGATTGCATATTCTCTTGAGAATCATGATGTCAACATTAAATAAGGTGTCATGGTTTTGTCAGGAGGTGATAATCAGAAAGTAGAAATTCTTGAACAGTTAAACACAGAAGAGCTTTTTGAATCTTGGGGTATGTCTGAGCAAGAAATTTTACAGTAAGAGATCATGGACTTTTAACACCATCTGAGTCTTTGAGATGGATTTTTCCCTTTTGTTTTTGTTGGGTTTGTGTTGTTTTTTTTTTTTCTTGGAGGCATTTCCAGTAATAAGGGTTTTGTCTTTACTTTAGCAAATTCTGTGGTGGTTCTACTTTTTTTTTCTTTTACATTGGGTATGTTTGTTTCATCCAGAATTGCCTCCCAGCCCATCATCTTCTGTTTAAGTCTTCTAGATTTATATATGGAGGATAAATGCAAGAAAGATGGGTCCTGAATACTGTGAATGCTGTGGAAGGTGATATAGACTGTCCCAGCCGTATATAATTTACAGCTATAAAGGCAGTAAAAACTTGGGGAAAGGATATAGCTTACAAGAGAAGCTTACAAAATCTGAAGATTAATAACAAATATATTAATCCTAGTAATGAAAAATGTTGGACAGAATTTAGGATTAAGCAGATAGATTTTTGTGATTGTTTTTCAGTTTTTCACTTGTTTAATTTTGCTTTAATGTTCTAGATCTTGCATGCAGTACACAAAGCTGGGTTTGTGAGGTAAATATAGGAGAACTTGAAGAAACCGGTTACTTTAATCAAATTTAATGTTTGTTTTTTCAAACATTGCCTTTAAAAAAAAAATAAATAAAAACCACTCTTTCCTTCTGACCAGGCTTCAGGTCAAATTCTGATCTGTTATAACACAGTATTCAAGTGCTTCATTCTTTTACAGATGAGCTAAGAATCATATAATCAAAACCTTGCCTATACTTATTTTCTTTGCAAAATAAATTACATATCTGCTTTTTCAAAACTCTTTGTACATACCTTGGACAGCAGATCTGCAGTTCAGTAGGTCTGAGTTTTCTCACTGTTACTGACAGTATGCACATTTTGCTTTTAGGTGAAACTAATTCATGAAATTGCTTCATGCCATGGAATTTTAATTACCTCTTATTCATACATTCGACTGATGCAGGATAACATCCACAGCTATGACTGGCATTATGTGATTCTGGATGAGGGTCACAAAATCCGAAATCCAAATGCCGCAGTCACGCTTGCATGCAAGCAGGTACTTTATAAAAAATAAATGAAAGATTTTAAGCGCTTTGGGGGGGAGGTTCCAAAATCTAATAGCCTGTATTACTTTATCATAAAAATACGTGTTTGACTATTAATAAAGAATAAAAGCATAAAACACAATGATCTGTATTTGACTATTTAATTTACTTAGCATTTTTAATGAGTTTACATCAGTAAATTTACAGAATTACGGTAGAGGAAAAAAATAAAAAAATTTAAATTGCGTAGTAATTTACCATTAGGGATAAATGTCACATTGCTGGTGTTCATTTTCTGCTAACAGTTTATGGACAATATATTGCAAAAAGGAATTTATTTCAGGAATATGAGGCCACATATCTTAAAATGAGAATTCATTGATGGTGAAATTGAGTATCCTGTGAGGCAGGAGGCAAGTTACACCACGAACCATGAAAATAACTTTCTTTTGGTTTTGTGTTATTAACAGTTCCGCACACCCCATCGAATCATCTTGTCTGGCTCCCCTATGCAAAATAACCTAAAGGAGCTCTGGTCCCTCTTTGACTTTGTATTCCCAGGGAAACTGGGAACACTACCTGTGTTCATGGAACAATTTTCTGTTCCAATAACCATGGGAGGATATTCCAATGCCTCTCCTGTCCAGGTAAATGCATCAAAAATATCACTTTGCTTGACGGAAACTTTTATGTTGTTTCTAAATTGACTTTTAAATGTACTTAATGCAGTATGTTCTAGACACTAACCCAGAAGAGTTGCATGTGTTTTTTACTACTATGCGTGTGAAAAGAACTGTTAACTAAATGAGACCATTTCATTTATACAGGGCTATAGCTTATACACAAGGTTTTCTTGTCAAAAGCCCTAAAGTTTAAATCATTAGAAGTATTCTTTGATATAAAGTAAAGATAAGCAAATTGGGGTGGGAGGTGACTGACTTTTTATTTTGATGTATTTAATAGAACTTTCCTGTTTGATATCAAGCTTCAGCAAATTATGCAATAGAGGAATCCTTAAATCGAAACTCAAAACTGTTTTCATTTTAAAAAGCTAAAGTAGGTATTGGAAGTCTGAAAGTAGATAAACTATTTAATTTTGAAAGCAAAAATTATTTGGAATATTATTTTGAATAAGTATGTCTATTAATCTTTGTAGTTGTGGTTCTCGGTATTTATAACTTCTTAAACATTTTTTGAATTAGCTGATAGATAAATTGTCCGCATAATCATCTGCAGACTAAGTTTCATATAAATGCTAATAAACTTGTATCCTTTTAAATATTCTTTGTAATGTTTTGCACACATACATTTCTAAAGTTTTATTTTCTTTTTCAGTTTAAGTACTTCCCATGTCTAAAGCTTAGTAATTTACTAAATTGGACAGCCAATTTGTTTTTTACATATCAATAATTTACTATATTCTTTGTTTTGCTTTAAGAGAAATGAAGGTATTTTTAGCCATTATGTACAGTTAATACCCATCTCACACATCCATTACCCATTATAGAACCATATGCTCCATTTAAGGCCAGAGTGACCTTTAGTTTCTGTGATCGTAGGGATTTTCTTGTACCGATTTTTTTTTAATAGTCTCAAGCGGGCACTAATCTTCACTTATTGTCTAGTAACCACCATTGCTGCAGGCTTCTTTTTTGATCTTCAGTATATGTATTAGCACTTTTTCATGAGGATTTTGGTTCTGTGCAAGTTTATACTCACTTCTTGGATTGGTTTCTAAAAGAAATATCTCATTTCTGGTCTCTTTTAAAGTCCATTAAATTAGGAAAGATAAATTAGTGGTATCTGACGAAGACTTGCTTACTCAATGTTATTGTTGCTAACATGAATTTTATTGCAATTCAAGTTGTGTTGAATATGTAACTGTAGATCCACATAAATCATAAATCATCTCATTTCATTAGGATTTTCCTATGGAACTTTGCTTGTTGCTAAAATTAGTATCAAGAACCAAAATACAACTTTTGCTTTTTCTTCCTTTTTCAGGTAAAAACTGCATACAAATGTGCCTGTGTGTTACGGGATACCATAAACCCCTACTTGCTGCGAAGAATGAAGGCTGATGTAAAAATGAGCCTTTCACTTCCAGATAAAAATGAACAGGTTTGCTTCTCTTTACTATTAGATCTGAGCCCTCTCCCTCCCCAAAATCCAGTCTTTCATGGACATTTGGAAATAATTTGTGCTAGCAGATGAAATGCTCTTTTAACTAAAGATAAGATGTAGAGCTTTCAAGTTGTATATTCTTTTCACCTGTGTTCTGAGTATTAAATGGTCGTAGTCTTGCAGGGTCTATACAAGTACACCCTCATCTAAAAAGCAAAGGATATATGAAGTATAATCACGTCTGCTTAATACTGTCCTCCTAGGTCACAGGTGCATACAAATGAGTTGTCTGTGGGGTGTTCCCTGTGGTGCCTCTCCTGGACACTTTAACATTGTTTCCTGCTGTAAAAAGGTTAATTTGGGCAGCAAATAGTAGAGAAATATTTGATGGCAGTTGTTCACGTTGCAAGCTAGCTGGGCCTGTACATTCCAATAAATTTCCAAAATATTAGCCTTTTGATCTAACACTTCTTTGCTCTACGAAGAGGTGTGATATTTTTTAGGAAACATTTTGATTCTAAGTAGAGAAGGTTGAAAGAATTATTTAAACAACTGAAATTCCTACACATACTCACTTGTAGTAATTACTAGATTCTTCTGCCACTCAGGTTTCAGAGCTTCAGGCTTTCTTGTCCTCTCCTCACTCTTTTCCTTTCTGTCTCCTCCCTCTAAAAGAGAAGTAGACGTGCTAGTCGTTGTAAGACAGTGCTGAAAGGTACATAATAAATGAGTAGGCCATACTCAGTTTCTGCTGTGCAGTCTAATGATCTTTTTTTAACCAAATTTTGAATTTCTATATACTTTAAAGAGTCTGGGCTAAAGAATGCAATCATAAACAGATTAAACAAATTTGATTTTTCTTCTTGTCAATCACAGGGCAGTACATAAGTTTGCCTTATGGCATAATGTTGGCTGCCTTGCAGGAGGCAAGGAAGTGATTTTGTTCCATTTTAGCCCATCAGTCCATCTGAAAAATCATATATGCTCACACTGAAAGGCTAATGACAGAACAGATTGTGTGCTAACCTTCCCATGAGGTACTAGGAATTTGCAAGTTGTAAGGGACGTAACAGACACACAATGGAAAGTGTTTCCTATAAACAGCTTTGAGAGAGTGCTAACATTGCACAGTTACCTCATTAAAACTGGAAAATGGCAGCACTTCCAAAACTAAAGCAATTTGAGGGGAAAAAATAACAACTGAGAAAGAGCACAAAAAAACCTCATGAAACCCGTCTTAATGATTATGTTAGTTCTCTAAAAATTCTAAGTTTTTTTATTTCTAATGATTTCTATGCACTATCTTTTAACTTAGTATTTCAGTATGTCAGACATCTATGGAGTTTCATTGTAGCACATTGTAAAACTTTAAAAGTCACTCTATTTGGAGTTTACAGCTTGGGCTTGAGCAGTTCGTTTGTTTGTTTTGGTAGGTCCTCTTTTGCCGTTTGACAGATGAGCAGCGTCAAGTCTATCAAAATTTCATCAACTCTAAAGAAGTTTACCAGATTCTCAATGGAGACATGCAGGTTGGCATTAATTAAGGTTAATGACAGGTAGAATTTGATGGATAAAGTCATGGACTGACCTTCGCATTCTTATAGCTGGATTCTGAGCAGAAAGGGAAGCAAACACACTGATCTCAGTTCTGCTTTTGTGGATGTCTGCTTTTTTTTCTCAGAAATGTTCCATGGAATACATAGAGTTAGTGATCCATATGTAGTGGCATGACCAGATAAAAGTAGGAATGGAATGGTCTTCGCAATATGTTTGTGATCTTGGGAACGAATTATGGCTTGTTGGATGACCTGCTGTAGGTAACTGTAAGCATGCTTTTAACCAATTGCAAAAGTGAAGCAAAGGAAAATAGTGATTTGTCCTGAGAGTACAGTTCAGGTGTGATAACTTCGTGATGCAACAGTTGATGATTTCACAGAGTCTTAACATATAGCAGAGTAAATAGCAAGCATCCTTCTTATTGTCTTACTAGTCACTTCAACATCTTTTGCCTCCATCCTCACAACATAAGTGTTGAAATTGCTGTGGCCAGGATGACAGCAGTAATTGAAATACGGTTTCAAATGCCTGCTGTTGCCTGTGTAAAAAGTCTGCTATTCCCTGTGACTCCTACATTGCACACATCTGGTCCATTTGACTTTTGTATGCATGCAGTGGGCGTTTTTCACTCCTGTTTTAGCTGCAGGATACAAACTATTGTTTGAAGAGGAAAAGTAGTATGTCTTGGTTATAACATGTAATTTACCACATGTTTTCTTGTCTTGGGAACTGTGAAATTCCTTCTCCCCTCACCCCCAGTGGCTCCTGTTAGTTGTATGGTCAGTACAGTCATGTATATTGCAGTGCCATACAAAGCAGATGTTGTTATCACTGTTTTGACTTTTTTATTTTTCCAGATCTTGCAAAAGTATAGTGCCCAATTTTTTTCAAGTGCCTAGCCATTTTAGTTATCCCAATGAAAATTATTTTAAGGAGCTTGATCTTCAAGAGATGGCTTGTACAACACTATCTGCAGATATTTCTCTAAGATGTTACAGAATGGGCTATATATATTTGCTAGAGTTCTGAAAATTTTGAACAGTAAATGTCAATGCTTTTATTAGATGTTTTTAATGACAGCAGTGAATCCCAGCTGAAAAACAAAAACCCCATTGTACAAACAATAAATTATGAGCAGACTGATCCAACTTGTAGTGACAGAAGATTGAGGGATTTGCTGTTTCAAGCTAGTTCATTTTTATGAGTGCCCATTATATCAGAAGAATAAATAACACTTGTAATATTATTGAATGAATAACTGAACAGAACCCTTCTAACATGGCATCAAAAGTAATTTTCAGCTTCATATGTTTGTTCAAATATGTTTACTCATCTGTTCTTTGTTACCATGCATTCTGGTGGGTATACTTGCTATCCTCAAGGTCTGTCATAAGTTACCTGCTAACGTGGCGGGGGTTGGAAGAAGGGACACAATAATTTCAAGTAACAAACTTGGTGGAATTTTTCCTTTTGAGTGGGGAAAAAATTGACTGTGAGTTACAGCTAGGGACTGCTTTTGCTAATGTGGAAATTGTTGCAGAATTCTCTTAACTTCGTCACCAGAATAGGCTCACAAGAACACAAAATTTCATTGACCTTCTCTTGTACTGATTTTTCCTAAAACTTTCCATGAAATGAGTATTAGCGTCCATTGGCTTCTCTAAAGATGAAACTACTATTAATAACAAATTTCTTGACAATGACTGGATTAATCCATTGCTGTTTATTTTTCTCAGCCCATATAGATACAAGTATTTGTCAAGAAAATAAAAGTATCTTTCTTCTGTATTCTTTAGATTTTCTCAGGACTAGTAGCTTTGAGAAAGATTTGCAACCACCCTGACCTCTTCTCTGGTGGTCCCAGGATTTTGAAGGGTGTACCAGATGCTGAAGTGGAGGAAGCAGATCAGTTTGGATATTGGAAACGTTCTGGAAAAATGGTAGTGGTAGAATCCTTGCTGAAAATATGGCACAAGCAAGGTCACAGAGTGTTGTTTTTTACTCAGTCAAGACAGGTAAGATGAGCTAACTGGTTTTAGTTTTGGTTATTACTAAAACTAAAAAAGTACATGTGTGTCCCAACGAGACTTGTAATTAGAACCACCTTTTGTAGTGTCCTTCTCAGAAAATGAACATCTTATTGAAAAAAAACCTAAAATGACTAATGTCTTTGGAATAATTGGAGACCAGTTCCCAAGCTCACAGCTTTACTGGAATGACAGTGTTGTGGCAGTGTTGCCCAAATTCAATATACTGGGTCAAAGCTTGTATCAGCTATACCCATATAATACTAGGCTGAAGCAGTGGTGATATATTTATTGTCCCTGCTGTGTAGTTTCAGGATGGAATTGGTAGTCAGTTTGCTCGCTCTGTTTAGTGCATGTGTACATCTAATCCTCAGAATTGTGTGCTTTGGGCACAGACAGTGATCTTCATTTGTTTTTCTTATGTATTCACTTGTCTTGCTTCTGTGGATTCTCTTGGAATGCTGCACCGTTTACCTGGTTAATTGTCTTGAAACCATGGCTCTTGACTTCCCAAACTAAGCATAAACATTCCCCTCGTGCATTCAGCAGTGAAGTAACTAATTCCACCCCCCGCCCCACAATTACATAAGTTACTGAATTTTCTGCTCATTTAAGATTCACGAGTTTTTGGTCGTCATCTTATTTGTTTGATTGGCACTGCAGTTAGTACCAGAAATTCTTATGACTTGATTAGACAGTTGCTCAGTCTTCACGTCTGGATTTCATTAAATTTTTTCCATCACAACAGATGCTGCAGATACTTGAAGTCTTTGTGAGAGACAGAAACTATTCCTACCTCAGGATGGATGGCACCACAACAATAGCTTCTAGACAGCCCCTTATAACAAGATACAATGAGGTGAGATGTGGCATCCTGCACACTAATGCCTATTAGTGACTATGGTTGAGTTCTTGCATTCCTTTTAGGTCTGTTTTTAAATATACTACTTCAGGTTTGAGACACAAAACTGAGGAGTTCAGTCAAATGAAACCACTGTCTTTGTGAGAGGGGAAAAAAAGTCATCACTTTTTTTTTCACTTAAGTTGGGTTTTCTGCTAAGAAAAAAAAAGCTGTTGAAAAGGGGGAAGAGAAATTTTATTGGACAACAGTAAATGAAATTTAGATCAAGCTACTTTTATTTGTCAAAAGAGATATTAGGCAAACAAGGAAATGTATTCCTTCTCTTGGCTCCCTTTGCATCTTTGCAAATAACGCTGATGATAAAAAAATCCAGGAAATCAAAAAAAAAAAATTATATTTTACTTTGGTAATTCTTGCTTTAGTAAATTCTCTCTTGTGTTATAGGACAAATCCATATTTATTTTTCTTCTAACAACTCGTGTTGGTGGCATTGGAGTTAACTTGACTGGTGCTGACAGGGTTATTATTTATGATCCTGACTGGAATCCCAGTACAGACACACAGGTGAGTTTGGTTCATTACATTCCATTTACCTGCTAAGTTGAAATAAAAATGAAGACCGAATGACATTTATCTCCTCAAATAGTGTTAAAGCACTAATGTTGCTCTTCCCTAAGTTGCTGCTCTCAGCAATGATTGCTTAGGGTGCAGTTCCACATTATGATTACTCTTGTGGCAATGCCAATTTAAGTGGTTCCCACCACATCCCCTTTATGCTGTTATACCTTACCACTCTTCAATATTGTCAATTCACATAGTCTGTTTAGAGCGTAGCCGAACAAACAGTTGAAATGGTCTGGGTTTCTTAAATAAACAAACAAACTAGATGTTTCTGAAGGGAGAGTACAGCTGTGCAAGCTCTTGAACAGGCATGATTGTTCATGGTGGCAATGCAGGGTAAGAAAAGGAGAAGTGTTGCTTAAATTGGCTTTGTCACTAAATAATGACATGTAGCTATGCCCTTAGAAGCTGCTGTTAAGCCAATACCTTAAAGAAGTTGTTCTTTATCTGATGGTGTGATGAGACTCTGGTTTATCAGATCCCTTAACAGTATATGGAGCTTACATGCTTGAGAGGAAAAAAACTATTTTTGATGGAAATCCTACATAGCTCTGAGATCTGCAAGCGTGTAATCTGACCTAGGTGGTCTGTTTTAGCAGTTGGTTCAAGATGTTTGTAGGAAAGCTTTCAGTTAAGAAAAAGAAGAAACATTCAAAGGAAATGTGTATATTAAAGCTCTATTGTGAAATAGATCCCTTTTGGAATAAGTCTATATAAAGTACATATCCTAGATATGAGTTCTAATTTTAACATCATTTATTTTTTGAGATTTTTTGCATAGATTTCTTGGTACAGTTGGAGACTTGTATTTTACATACGTAAACTTTCTAAATTGTTTTCCTCTCCTGCTGAGTCAGTTGTCCTAATACTGTAGAAATACCACAGCTGTGTAACTTCTTGAACTATTTGTTAAATGTCCAAACTAAGTTTGAAACAGTGGTATCGATAGCTCTCTGTCACGTGTCTAAGAGGCTAATGTCTGGTAACCAAACCTTTTGTGTTCCAGGCTCGGGAACGTGCTTGGAGAATAGGCCAAAAGAAACAGGTGACTGTGTATAGGCTTCTCACCGCAGGTACTATTGAAGAGAAGATATACCACAGGTCAGTCAGAACTACTCCTTGGATACAGCCATATGTATCAAGAAAATGTTTGTAGCGAATCTGAGGTGGTGTACAGTGACATACCTGTGCATGTGCACACATGGCTTGTAACCCCCAACCTTGGTCATGATGGGCACATCATGGAAAATTTCTAAAAATCTCTGCTGAGAAACGGGCCGCCTTATAATGTTAGACTCCCAGCTGCAGGGCTGTGCTGCTGCCTCTCTAGCTCCAAGACCCACATGCTAAATACACCTCATCAATCTGTTCCAGCAGCTGTGTCCAGCACATCCAGAATTCACTGTAAATGAGTCACTATGAGGCATAGACAGGAAAAAATGAACCCCTTACTCAGAACATGAGACTCAACAAGTCTGAAATGCAAATTGAAATCAACAAGTTCTTTATATTGTCCTTAGGATATATAAAGATGTATGCAGTACATATATCTATTTACTACTCTGCAAAACAAATTTGATTTTATTCCCAAATCATTCCAAAGTGAGAGAATTAAATCCCAAGAACCACCAGTCATGTTCACATTATTTATTCCAAAATGTAGCTAAAGCCTTAAAGTGCTTGTATTTTGAAATCAATGAATTCTTTTTGTTTTGCTTTCCCATTAGCTTTCTCAGTAGTTAGCTTCACTCACATGAATTCCAAATGAATGTACATGGGAATCCTCTGTCTAGGCATTACTCTTTAGAACTGGAATATCCTCTTTGAAAATGCAGATGAATGAAAAGCTCTAAATAATGAAATACCCGCACTTATTGAGTGACTTTTTTAATCTACTTTACCACATGGACACAAAGCATCCGCTGTTGGTTGGCTTGCGTCCCTCTGGCATACTTCTGTTTGAGCAACACTGACCACATCAAGGAAGTGGGCTCTAAGGGTCAGGACAGCCATCAGAAATTCATTTATTTCCAGAACAGTACAATGGACTTGGAACTTTAAGCAAGTTGTCTTTTCTCTTTGCCTGTGTTTTCTTCCCTGCAAATATGTGATCATTCTTGCAGAAAGCTATGAAGCTCAGATAATTCTTAAAAACTTTAAAGTCTTCTGATGGGTGCACTACGGTATCTGGCACCTATGTTTAAACTTGATTTTTGCCAATTGGATTTAAAAATAGTTTCCCTGCTTAATGCCAGCAGAGCCAAAATCATGATAAAAACACTTCTTGAGAACTGATTTTCAGCTTTATTTAGGGATGTATTTTTTGTACAGGAAAATAGTGCCTAGAACTTGCAATCAAAACCTATGTAGTACAAACATGGCATAGAAGTAGATAAGTAGATTTACCAATACTAGAAGACTTTTTGCAGCTTAGTTCTCCACCAAATTTGTTTCTTTCAGTCTTCTGCAGATGGGCTCTTTTTTCCCTTCCTCTCAACCACAAGTCTGATTTCACTTTTCAGTGGTTGTCATCCAATCACCACCATTAGACTGAGCTACTCTGCTTCTTTTGATTCCTCCAACCAATTGAACCATTAAAATGGTGTCATCTTAACAAGCTCTTGTTTTTCTTTCAGGAGCTTTCTGATAGTTTTATTGTAATATATGCAAGCTTTTCAATTTTAATGGACAAAAATTCTAGCTGTGAAGTTATTTATTGCTTAGTTAAGGGATGCCTCATAGGATATTTCAGGATGGTGGTTACCTGTTGTGTTATGGGGTTGTTGCAAAACAATAAATCCCTGTGTTTAACAGTTTAGTTGGTTGTTTGGAAGTTACTAACTCAAGATTGTCTTTTGGAAACTAACATCATCTTCCCACTGCTTAATTGTTCTGCAGGGTAACATTTGTGCTTATACAGTTTTCTGTTTAAGTACTGTATTCAGTACTTAAACATAGCTAGACGTTGTTTCATGCACAAAGTACTTTTTTTTCTTTTTTAGACAAATCTTCAAGCAGTTTTTAACGAATAGAGTGCTGAAAGACCCTAAGCAGAGGCGCTTTTTCAAATCCAATGACCTTTATGAACTTTTTACTCTGAGCAGCCCAGATGTATCTCAGGGGACAGAAACGAGTGCAATTTTTGCAGGTACACATTTTTTTCTATTTGTTTAAAAGAAAAAATGTTTGAAGTGTTTGATAAATGGATAAGTGTTTGATAAATGGATACTAATTTTATTTATCCTTCAGGTACTGGTTCAGATGTTCAAGTCCCAAAACACCAATTGAAACGGAAACTTGAAAAGCCACCTGATAATGACACTTCTAAAGGTGATCTCCATCTTACAGAAAGCACCTCACCAAAGTACAGCAAGTCATCCAATTCCTATTCAACCACCCACATGACAAATTCTTCTTCTAAAACAATAGAGACAAGTGAGGAAACCAAAGGAAATTTGGAAGCCTTTGACCAAAATAGCAATGCCAAAGATAATGCACAAGCTGTTACTAATATAAATTCATTGAATAAAAGCAAGGACGAAAGCTTGGAAAGAGCTGACAAATCTATGTCCCAGTCATTGCCAGGTGATGTAGGGTCTTCAGAGAATGCCAAATGTCTGAATGCTGTGGTGGCTGATGAAGTACATGGAGCAGCTAATGCAAATGTCAAGGGAGATTTTAGCCTTACGTGTGGTGCAGCTGGCTCTTGGGAAAAGCAGGTTGCTAAAACTGAAGATGGGCAATTAGATAATAATCATTATAAATGTACCTCAAAAACAAAGCACAGGGTGGATATGCTGTCACATGAGAGCCACAAAGATAAGTCTAAGAAGAAACGTCACAAAGATGCCAAATTTGAAGGAGAGCGCATTCCTCATCTAGTGAAACAAAAGCGATACAGAAGGGAAAACAGTGAAGAGAAGGAGGAGGACTCAAAGAAAAATGATGATTACGTCTTGGAGAAACTTTTCAAAAAATCAGGTAACCATTGTTATTTGGCTGCTCAATAGTGTCAGACTGTAAAACTGGTGGTTAGAGCTACAATACAAAACGTGTTTTATCTATTATCTTACTGTAGTGAAACATTAAAGTGTTCATCATTGAAATGCTCTCGTTATGAATGTGTAATTACCTTGGCACAAACATTTTGGAGAGATCTGCAGCCTTCCAGAAACACTTCTGGATGTAGAAGTAATGCAGTGTTTCTTCTAGAAACAAGAATGTAACCAACCTTCATTTACACAAGGGTTTCACTTCTGTCTGTCCTGTCCATAATAGTATAAATTATCTATTTACTCACATAATTGCCAAGTCTGTTGTGACTAATGACCTCATGACCACACCAGAAGTGGTTTACTGCCAAATTGATTGCTTAACTGATAGAAGGGGATTCTCTTATTAGAAATTACTATACTGAAGTGCTGAATATAATCAACCTGAAAAAGGAGATATGTGATTGTGGCATTCCCTTAAATGGTGAATATTTAATTTTACAGATAACCATGTAAATTAACAGATGTCCTCCTTCACCTTTTCGTGTATCTTCTGGTTTTTAGGGGTACACAGTGTTATGAAGCATGATGCCATTATGGAAGCTTCCAGTGCAGATCATGTGCTGGTGGAAGCAGAAGCAAACAGAGTGGCCCAGGATGCCTTAAGAGCCTTGAAAGTCTCTCGACAGCGATGTTTAGGAGCTGCTTCTGGTGTGCCAACCTGGACAGGCATGAGCGGTCTTTCAGGTGCACCACCAGGAATAAAGTAAGTTCAGTTCTCACACTACTTTTCCAAAATAGAAGAGTTCCTTAGGATGCTATGGATTTATCTTGTTTTGCACTTGGTATTTGCAGTAACATGTATCAAAGTGGTGTTTCATGTTTTATATTTAATAAAGACATGAAGGCATATTACAAGCCTAGGAAGTCCATTCTGAAGTACAAAGAAAGCATTATTGTTGCACAGTAGAAGAGAGAGAGTTTGGCAGAGGGCTCTTGAGAACCCTAAAACGCAAACCCAGTTGGTGTCTTTGGCAAAACTATCCTAATCATTTTGAGAAGGATGTTTTATGGAGTTAATTCTTTTATGGGTTTTTAGGACTCGGTTTGGTCAAAAAAGAAACCCCATGCTGCTTTCTTCACATTCCACTTGTGCATCACCTGCAAAGAAGTGCAAGGTAAGAGATGCAAGCTAACATTTCTCTTTTAAGAGCTGATATATGTGAAATGTTCTGATTTATGCAACCAATCTGATTTATACTGTACATGTGTCTCATACCCATTTGTTGTATGATTATGTAGAATTCTAGAATTTTTAGTCACCCGTGAATTTGATTTTTCATGTTTTGACATAGGATCTTGATGAAGACTAATTAGATACAGCAGTCACAAATTGCAGCATGGTCTGGTTATCTGTCTCAAGACCCGCAATGCTTTTCTTTCACTTTGTAAGTTCTAAAGTTGAGACCAGAACATATTACCTCTTTATTGTGTATTTCAGGTGACTAGCTTCTGAGTGTTCATGTTTGTTGTTTAAGCCTAAACACTGGGCAGATTTTGTTTAACAGATTCTGTGGATCTCCACAGAAAATCCAACTTTCTCCATAGTCTGTATGCTTATTTGCAGGATGCAGATACAATAAAGAAAGAAAATGTAAAGAAGTGTAGTTCCAATGGACACTTTGATGGAAAATCTGGAGAATCGTCGTCCAGTGCACTGGACTCTTCATCTTTATTAGCTAAGATGAGGGCAAGAAACCACCTTATTTTACCACAACGGATAGGGAATGAGGGAGATGAGAATCATCAGCAAGCACCTGCCCCAGCCCCGGGTTCAACAGAATATGATGAACTGCTCGTGGATGTGCGTAACTTCATAGCGTTCCAGGCCCACACGGACGGCGAGGCTAGCACTCAGGAAATACTGCACGAATTTGAGTCCAAACTGCCTGTGGCGCAGTCCTGCGTCTTTAGAGAACTTCTCCGCAATCTCTGCACCTTCCATAGGAGCCCGAACGGTGAAGGTGTCTGGAGGCTAAAGCCAGAATTCCGCTGACCTTTGTCAAGGGAAGGCACCTGTCTGTGCACTCGGCCACCACTCTCCTTTCAAAGACTTACTGTTTGTCTTTTAAAATGATGAATTAGTTCGTATTCATAATTTAATAATTGACTTGAGCAGTCAGTGGTGCAGCGCTTGTTGCAGGCTTAGAGCTAACTTAATTTCTGATTTACACTATTTATATGAAAGTGCCATCTACCTCTTAGATGAAACAATACAAAATATCAGCACCTTTTCTTTAAAACAAATCTTAATATAAATGGGATGAAGAATCCATACTGACGTTTTATTGCAATAAGAACCATGGATGTTGCCGTGGGTTGTAAGACTTCTATTTGATTTCTGTGAAATTCCAAGAACTTCTTCCTCAGTTTTCTGTATGTTACTTGAATGGTCATGGGGCACACAGTGCACCATCAAAAAAAAAAAAAAAAAACCAGGAGATGATAGTGGTCAGCATGAGAGATTCACTTGTACTGACAAATGCATCAAAATCATTGTACGATATTTTCGTCAGTAGTGAGAATTTTATTTTAATATTGGTGCTTTCATTGTTGGCAGCATCTTGCATATGCAGTGTAACTTACATCACTAATTAACTTGCGAAATAATTCTAGTGCCACAGAGGTTTAATCACAAAAAATGGAAAGCCTGGCAGGATATTGAGATGACTGACAGGTGATAATTATGGAAAACTTATTATATTACGGAAAACCCATTTATACCATAATCATCAATTCGGTTACAGTCCCATACACCACTGGCAATTGCTTGGTACAATATTTCTTACCACTGAGGTGACAGTAACTGTTATGTTTGTCATAGGTTGTAGACTGATAATTGAAATCCTATGAAATGTTAATGTGTCTCACTGTAATTTATGTCAAAAACTTTCCAGTTCCCTGTTAGCACTTAAAATTTTATACCTTGACAAAGACTGAGGTGTTAGTTGGTCAGAGAGGGAATGGTTTCACTGTATTTTACTAAACAATCACTTTTGGCCAGAGACATAATTGGAGCATATACAGAAGTTACAGGTCATACCTATTCTGTAGATAGGGAAAATGTCAGTCTTTCTGACAGTCGGTCAAGTTCTGATACCCATTTTCTTCCAAGGAAGGAAGGATTGGATTATTTGTAGCAAACCCAAATACTATATTGGGTCTGTCTTCAAGGTATTAGTGTGCTACATAAGGAAATCTTAAGGGGGTAAAAAGGGATCGATTTTGAGAAGAAAACCACATTCTTGCACATTCTTGCAGCAACGTTAAATTACTGTATGGCTTAAACTAGGAACAGTTAAATATGCCTAATGTCCTTCCTGTCCCTAAGCTGTTGAGAAAAGGGAAAGCTGAGCTACTTCTAGTTTTTGTTCAGAGTGAAAGTATCTTGTTTACTTCAAGTGAAAGTACAAATACTGAAAGATGAACGGTGAAGCAAGAATACAAACTGTTACTTTGTTCTTGTAAAGAAAGTCTTTAAGATACTTCTAATGGCTTTTCCTCTTGTTTTTGCTTAGTGCTAAAGGATCTGTAGAGATTTGCAAAAAGTGGTGCCTCACTGTTTCAATAACTGGTCAGTTAGCTTTTCATAGACTAGAGTTGGAGAGGGCAGACAGTCCAAGAATGTGTTTCTTTTCCTCATGGCATTTGAAGGTGGGACTGTTGCACCTTTTCCTGACATCTCTTTTTCTGATCCCATTTATATTCACTTACATTCCCTCTTTCAGGAGAAAGATGAAACCAAGAATCTAGGCTGCAATTACGAAACACTTCAAAAATTGTAGATCTGTTGATATGACTTAAAATGGGTCAGTAAAAGAGTAAAACCAAACCAATTCTGCTGTTCTCTCCAAAGCTATAGGGAATTTTAATTGGTTTTGGGTGTCATGCCCCAATGCATCCCTATGCCCCAGGAACAAACCAGGAATTCAGCTGTCAGCAAAGCTGCTGTTGTCACCTTAGCTGTCAGTTCTGGTGTCCTGTTTTATTTACTACTGCCAAACTTAAAGACATAGTTCCTGTACTAAGGAAAGTTTGCAGCTTCTCACTGATCTGTTAATGTAAATAGACTTGCATGTGCTTTTTATAAATACTTGGCTTTTATGGACTTATTAAAAAAGCAAAACCAGAAGTCTGTTCTAGAAGTCTTCTTTGGGGGTGGGACGAAGAATGGGGTGGGAGAGCAATTTTTCCTGTATAGTGTGGCTCTGAATAAATGACTCATATTATCTTTAAGTACATTTCCATTTTTTGTACAACTTCGTTACGCATCCTGGCAACTAGATTTTTTTCCAGTGCTAGCTTTTGTTTAAAATGTTTAAAAGACTGAATGAATATTAGTATAATACTTAAAAAAAAAAAATTCTAAGTATTTCACCTCAAAAGCGTATGTGATTAAAGGTCTACAGGCTGATTTATAGGTAAAAGTTGTTCTGAAATATAATACAGCTGCTGTACATTTTAAAGTAGAAGAGTTATTTCAGAATACTTTTATTCCATAAAGCATTATCTGATTTTTTGTTGGTTTAGCTTTACCTGTGTAAAGTGAATTCTTTTCACATCTTCAAAGAATATCTGAAACAATTCCTGACTAATGATACTGCATAGCCAAACATGTTTACCATTAAATAGCTTACAGATACGTAATATTTGTAAAAGCATGTATTTTAGCCTTCTCAGTTTCCAAGTATTCAGTGCTGCAGTTGGTAGTTGCTACTTTATTTGTGCATGATTCCAAAAATCACTCATATGAAATGTCTGTGTTTTTATAATTTGTTTTCTTACCTCAGTAAAAAGGGGATAAAGAACAATCAAAATCCAGATGTTAATTTAGGAATCAAGTTGAAAAAAATCATTAAATCTTATTAAGGAAAGACATTTCAGCATGAAACAGTGGGTATAATCTTTAAATTTAAAAAACGTATACACCACAAGGAACTGCTGAAAATTTCTTTCCTATAGAGATGCTAAAAGCACCATGCTACTCCAAAAATGTCATGCCAATTAGATGATGTGACCTACTACCCACACAGCTCAGCAGACAAATGCAGTTGAACAAAAATCTAGAAAGCTAAACAGCAAAAACTTGGATTGTTCTGTAAGCGGTTATGGGGACTGTGTACACTGTTTGGGTAAAACATGCTGCACTGGTATTTTGACAGCAGAAGTTAAAACTTACCATAATTGTTCCTTCTGGTTTCAAACCATATTTGTAAAGAGGGAGATAAAAAAAACTCTTGTTTTGTTTATTAAGATGTTTCCACCCCTCCCGCCATCCCATCCTCCTTTTACATTCTTCCAGGTGTTTATTCTCCTATGTTCATCCTTTTGCTGAACACTTAAGTCTTTTATAGCCAACCCACTCATCTCTGGTATAAGAACTAAATTCTGACCTAGGGAAAAGAGATTTTGCTAAAGGTTGTAGGCTCTTCTGAACAATAATGACCTGCCACAAAAGAAATGTTAGCAAGATGCTGAATGGATAGATTGGTAGAAATGGTGATTAAAAATGGAGAGGAGTATTTTTAAATCCGTAACTTTTTACTGTGGCTCAGCCTCTTCTCAAAGGGCTACACCACGTGGAGAATTGAGTCAACTACAGCTAATAAATGTTACCCCCCCCAAGTAAAGCTGTAGAGAATTGGGCTTTTGTATGGGTAAGTTTTGGCTTCAGGTGATAGTTACTTATAGACAGTTGTACTCAAGTCACAAGGTCCACTTTGCTTTTTATTCCAAGATTGCTAAACTTGGCTAATTTTGACTGTCTTCTAGTAGTGCAATTCTCTGCCTTTCAAGAAGCTACAACAGACGGGACAATACTTTCAAAAGGACTTGATGAGATTTTTGTTGTTGTTCATAAAATCCTGCAGCACTTCCCTTCTTTGAGCTACTGAGTCATTAGGGCTAAGAAGTCTCCAGTTGCTCAGCTGTTGTAAATGCAGCTCCACTGACATGAATTGGCTGATGCTGTTCCTTGAGGACCTAGCCTTCTGATACTAGCCTTCATCAGAGCCAAAAAGCATGTCATCTGGGATGCTGCACATACATGATTGAAACAGCCACAGCACATTAGCCTTTTTCCAGTTTCTGTGTGCTTATTGATACTGCCATATGGAAAGGACAATTAGAGGCGAGTTGAAGGTAGGCTGTCACACAGGTTTTTGGTTGATTTTCACAAAGAATGATCTTGTGGGCTCCGTTTTTGGCTGAACTCCAGATACAGTTTGAGATGTGCTTTTCAAAAATCATGGAGATAGGTGATGGCAATGATTTCAGTAGCCATCTTGAAGAGACCTTTGCGTGTTGATTCCTGGTTTTTTACACTCTCTCTCTCTCACTCTCTCATATAACCAAGTGCACTTGGTTATACTGATGTTAGTCTGCAATTGAATCAGGGCTTTTTTCCTCATCTACCAATTAGCTTAGTTTGGTAGTGAATACTGCCAGAACCCATAATGCCCCATCACTAGTATGTAAGGAAAAAGCTCTTCACAGAGGGGGAATGTTTTGCATTTGCTAAGACTGAGCAGATACACAAACAATGATACTACTGTGTAACAGTGAAAATGAGAGGGGAGTCATCATAACAGCATTGGTGGGGAGGGAGGGAATTTTCCAATAGATTTGAAAATGTTAAACATTGAGATCTATCAAAAAAAAAAAAATCCACATATAATGATATACCATACTTTCTCGGTGACAAAGATACCCAGGCAGACATCACATACCTAGAAAAAGTGTGAAAGTTGCTGTTACAGGATGTGTCCTTCAGGGAGAGCTGTCACAGGAAACAGTAATTAAAGCAATTAATTTGACAAAACAGTCTTAGAGAAAACAGTAACTTGACTAATGTTCTTTTGACAGGATAACACTTCTCCAACATAAAATAATTTTATTTTTAAAAGAAGGAACCAGGTAGATGAATAATAAAATTGGTGGGATAATACCTGACTTGCATTCTTTTTGCATACTGCTGTGATTCCTGTGTCAAATCTAGCAATAACAGTTTAAGCAGTTTTCTCTCTTGGAGGGAGGAGGTGTTGAGGAACAGCCATATCTCAGTGGTTCAGCAAGGAAAGACGACGCAGTGTCTTTTCTGCTGGTGGTGGCTCTGCTTTCTCAAAT